CACCATCACAGATCTGAGAGTCCTTTCACTAAGAGCTGTGACAGACCCCCTTCTGTTGAATGCACAAATGTAAGTAGTGGTATGCAAGTAGGGTGTGAAGCTGCTTTGCACGGTGAGATCCAGTGCAAAGCATCATGTTCCCAGGAATCAGAATTCAGAAGACAAAGGCTGTCCAGCATGGCTTCATCTACCTTCACCAGTACTGATGATAGCGTCCACAATATATGTAAGCATGATGCCCCTGAACAGAGTTCAGACATACCCCTGGGCACAGGGAAAAGGAAGCTAAGCTTTGGCTACCTTGAGCGTCAAGATGGGCAGGACTGTCCCAGTACCAGCTCTCTTTCCTCAGGTCAAAGCTCAAAGTCTGACTCTGACCATGAGAGACCTTCCTCTGGATTAGTTCATGGTACCCGTGAAGAACAAAACTGGAACCAAACAAGGCTGAGAAACAGTGGAAGTGGAGAGACAAGATGGAGCGAAGAGGATCCGTACTCCAGACAAGGCAGTTTTGAAGAGGCAGATGGTTGCATTGGAGAAGTAGACACCTGGGACCCTTCTAGGGATGAAGGTGCTTGTATTGCACTGGAAGAGGCAACAAGAACAAGCCTGGAGCACGTTTCCATTTCATCCAGTCGGCACTACAATTCTCCTGCTAGCACATGCAGTAGGGAAGAATGGCATGGACATGCCAGTAGACCGAATCAATGTGAGATGCATGTACATTTTGAGGGACCAGATCTGGAGTATAGTGAGTGTGTAGCTGTTGGTGATTATTCTCAGAATTCTGAATACCAAGCATCCCAATTTTATGAGGATGATAGACAGCCTTGTGCCTCTTCTCTGAGCTCAAATCAAAATTTCACTGCTGCAGATGATGATGAACAGTACACAGCTTCTTCATGTGAGAACTGCACAAGTCTCACTTTGAATGGAGAGTCTTTAGAGGGTTTTGTCGGTCCAGTTAACACTGCACCCCTAACCGACAGGAATCGGAAAGGCCAGTATTCAGCCAACTCTGATCAGGACATGCCTGGTACTGGCGAGGGAAGCAATGTGGGATTTACAGTTAGAAGGTTTAGCAGGGCAGTGCTAGATTTTAAATCTGCACTGAAGGGGGCTCTAAAGAAGCTGGAGGCAACTGGTGCAAACTTGCCAGTGGAAAAAGCAGATGCTTATGTACCCATATTCACATGTGGTGAGCCTCAAGTAGCTGTAGACTTTCCTGATAGTGGGACATCCAGTAAAGAAGTACCTCAGATGGAAACACCTTTTGAAACTCCTCAAAGGGACAGGCCAGTCATCACTTCGGAGGAATCCCAAGTTGACAGGACTGACACTGCTTGTGTGGAGTCTAAGAAAAGCCCCTCTAACTCATCAAACCCTTGCAATACTGTTCCAGAACCAGCAGAGGGCAGTTTAAAGACCTTTTCTCGACAGAACAGCGAGTCTTCGTGTACCCCTCTTTCCCCTGAATTAGATCCACACACTGATACAGCATTGCATGCTACTGAAGCCACCCTACCAGACTGTCTTACCACTGAGTCAGTATCAGCCTCTCTCTCAGCTGAAGAACCAGTACTTCTTGAGGAGCAAGGAGAACGAACAGGGGAGCCCGCAGGGGTACAACAGCCGCAAGAAGAGAACAACAGCCTCACTGTAGAGGCTGGCGGAGAGGAAGGAGAGCACCCCCTAGAGCTCAGCGAGAAGGATGTTCGGAGGCTGAAATGCCTGAGGAGCTTCCAGCAAATCCTTCGGGAGAAGAGAGAGAGTAGAAGACATCTCGGCATGGTGACCATGTTCACATTTTCCGAGGACGACTTCAACCAAGGTACTTTTTTCAATCACACGTCTAAACTAGTTTTACCTGCATCTCACATTCTTCAACATCTTGGAAGTGTCTTTCAAGTTAAGTAATTTAAGCAATGCTAATGATGCCCCAGTTTGCTTATGGTTTAATTCATGTTTTTATGTGCTTAGCTCATATTGATGATTTGATTGTTTCCCTTTGATATATGTACACATAATCTGTCTGTAGGAGTTTTCCAGAAATGTCAAACCCATCTCTACTTTTGTAGCCTTGATCAAAGCCTTGTCTGGCCGTAACCTCTTCACTTCCATCATCCATTTGAATAGTCGTATTCAAATCCCTTTAGCGGATTCTAAATTGATTCAAATTCCACTCCTGATGTTTTCTGATTTTTTAATAGGCATTGAAACTGCTGAGTCAAATAGCCAGAGGGAATTCGGACCGCTCCCCGTGTAACTGCACTGTTCTAGTTATATCACCCACCGTTTCTCAAGCTCAGGGCAAATTAATTACTCTCACTGAAAACAAACCTGACATCAAAGGGGAGGGGGAAGTAAGAAATTAGGGCCCTGTGATAAAATGAATTATACATCTCAATGCAACATTTATGAACTGAAGGCTAGATCGATAGCGGAGTCCCCTAAAGTCATTCTGTTTAGACCCATATTCCCCCACATTTGAAACCAGTTGCCTGAATGCTGTCGTCTTCAGGAGGTTGTTTGTTTTCTAACTCTGGTTGATAATTTTCAGTGTAGTAATGTTTTGTTTCTGTATTTCTGTCTGTTCCCAGACTCCAGCCGAGATGAAGATCAGGTTATGTTTCATTGGCGACGTTGTTTGAAAAATACAAGTGCTGCTTCATGCTGATTCTTTGCAGTGTAGATGTTTGATTGTGTGCGGTCCTGCATGGCGTGAGGCATGTCCCTGTGAAACCCTTTAATTTGCTTTTGTTTGATTACTGTTACTATGCTCATTCTAATTTACCCAGTGTTGATTTTGAGAGCCATTAGAACTCCACTGTGTATTCAGTGTTTTATACCTGTTCAGCACCTTAATTGCTTCGTACTGTTTCATCCTTGGGAAAAATGATCTTCTAGGGTTGTAAGAAATGTACGATATGAGACAAACTCGCTGTGGCAAGAGAAACACTCAAGGCCTCTTACCCAGCTGGCTGAAGCTTTGTTTTATACGCTGCAGCTGTGATTTGGAAGCAAGCAAGGATAACTGAGGATATGGCCTTGTGAGTCAACCGCTTCAGAGCACTAATAAAGAGAAAGGTTTTCAATGCAGAATTCAATATATATTCATTTGAGACAATGAAAATGCCACGGCTTTGATGGATGCTGCTGTATCAGATGTGTCACAGTATTGTTGGATGTTGCTCATTGGTACCTCCTCCACAGATGTGGCTGGGTTTCTGTCTTTACTCCCCAAAATGCTGCAAGTTTTCTTTGCAATGAAAATTTCTATTTATTTAGATGAACTTTACAAAACAAAATGTCAGTGCATCTTAAAAGAACAAGTCAGCCACATCCTAATTATAAGAAAAATTCATAATAATAAATCAAATAAATTAACAAATAACCAAAGATTCAGGCTTTTGGGACTGATTCTAGTATGTTTAGTATTGTTTGCAATGTCTGCTTAATATTTTTAGGCTCACTGATCAAAGGTATGATATTTGTTAAGGGGTCATTTTTCCATTGTGTATAAAATTTAGGAATTGAGACCAGAACTTCAACTGAGGCTCTTTCGTTATTTCAACCATGGTTTGACCCGATGCTCCCATAGGGGTGGAAAACCAGAGCAGCCTAAGTGGAGTGTGACCGCGAAATTAAGTGGAAGAATAAGTGATTTGTCAATATCTTACTCAATTAAAAGTAAACTGGAAATATGGAACCAAATTTATAATTTGGTGAAAGTCTAAAAGCGTCAATATGTAAACAAACTCAAGTATATAAAAGTAAATTAAAAGTTTTCTATGTTTGGTGGTGATGAGGCAACTAATTGGCAGCACTACTCTAAACAAATTAGCGTAGCTGTGGGCAGTTTCATTTTACACTGATATGAATTTTTGTACCTAAGGCTAGCATGTTAAGCACCACCACATCTTTTCAAACTGTTGCTAATGCACCATGGACAGCTCGACATGCTTGGAGAAGAATGCTAACTGCTAATTCTGTTAAAATCAGCTAACAGATGCATGTGCTGGCCAGCCTTGTCCTGAGTGATGGGAAGAGATGAAGTAGGGCCTCAACCTTGTGATCTTCTAACGATAAAGCCAACGCTTACTTGGTGGTACCTCTTGGGAACCCCTTGTTTTAATAAAATCAATATGCTCAAATTTACTGATAGGACAGAAAAAAAAGAGAAAAATCAGGCCTTTGAGGTCTGTGATGAGCTCTTTGAAGGTCTGAAAGTACTTGGAAAGAGTACAAGTATACAGTTTCTATAATATTGAGCAAAGTAGACATCTTCAGTGGTAATACATGAGTACTGTGATGACAAACAGCTATTCAGGTATTGTCCACCTTGCTGTTCCAGGGTCAGTTTTTCAGAAAGGGACTAAGCCTGGTCCTGGACTACACAGCATTCGGAAAGGCTTAACCCCTGTCTGAGAACCCAACTCCAACCAGTGTCAGAGATCATGCTGTGGTTGTAAACCTTATGTGACTAGTTTAAATTCTGGTTCAGATGTGGCTGGTGGTAACCAAGGCATGTCTCCCAGCAGTCACAGATCTGGGGGCAGCGAGTTTCATGTTCTCACGTCTGCTTCATCACAATCGGGTGCGTTTGATTCCCCTGAGAGCCGTGAAGGACTAATAAAAGATGAACTCTGTGAGTCCAGACTGCTGTCCATGTAGACAGTAAGCCTGCTGTTCCTCTGTGTTCTTTATGAGTGAGGACTCTGATATCCTTAGATATGGGATTTCTTAGACTCAGAACCCATAAGGCCGACCGTGTGTCGACACGCGTCCACATGCGCAGGGTGTGTGTTGGTCAGAGTCTGTTCAGATTTGCTTTACACTTGAAACTCAATCAGCCAAACCCCAGGCCACTCCTGCTCGGTGTCTGTCTGTGCTGCTCTGCTCTGTCTCTGTGCTCGTCCCCCCCTGCTGTGGTTCAGAGACGTTCTCCTCCTCTGTGAAGGTGTGAGGATGTGAGTGACCGTGTCCTTTTTTCTGAACAGGCTCAGAGTAATGATGGAGGTCCCAGCAGACAGCCGTGGACCAGACAGCCCGGGTACTCGTCCTCCCTCTACTTTACATCTGCACTCTTTCATTTTACTGCTCCTGTCTTCTTCATCACTTTATTTCATTCACTTAATAATGTCATTACATCACTCACTCACACTGAGTGGATTCGTCTGTCTATCTATCTGTCTATCTATCTATCTATCTATCTATCTATCTATCTGTCTGTCTGTCTGTCTGTCTATCTGTCTATCTGTCTGTCTGTCTATTATCTATCTATCTATATATCTGTCTGTCTGTCTGTCTATCTGTCTGTCTGTCTGTCTGTCTATCTGTCTATCTATTATCTCTCTATCTATCTATATATCTGTCTGACTGTCTGCTTATCTGTCTGTCTATCTATTATCTCTCTATCTATCTATCTATCTATCTATATATCTGTCTGACTGTCTGTCTGTTTGTCTGTCTATCTATCTATCTATATATCTGTCTGTCTGTCTGTCTGTCGATGTCTGTCTGCCTGTCTGTCTGTCTATCTGTCTGTGTATCTGCCAGTCTGTCTGTCTGTCTATCTCTCTGTCTATCTATTATCTCTCTGTCTACCTATATATCTGTCTGACTGTCTGTCTATCTGTCTGTCTATCTATCTATCTATATATCTGTCTGTCTGTCTGTCTGTCTATGTCTATCTGTTTGTGTATCTGCCAGTCTGTCTGTCTGTCTATCTGTCTGTCTATCTATCTATATATCTGTCTGTCTGTCTGTGTCTATCTGCCTGTCTGTCTGTGTATCTGTCTGTGTATCTGCCAGTCTGTCTGTCTGTCTGTCTGTCTATGTTTCTATCTGTCTATATATCTGTATGTCCATCTGTCTGTCTGTCTATCTGTCTATCTATCTTTCTATCTATCTATATATCTGTATGTATATCTGTCTGTCTGTCTATCTGTCTATGTCTATCTGCCTGTCTGTCTATCTATCTATCTATCTATCTATCTGTCTGTCTATCTATCGATCTGTCTATCTTTCTATCTGTCTATATATCTGTATGTCCGTCTGTCTGTCTATCTGTCTATGTCTATCTGCCTGTCTGTCTGTCTATCTATCTATCTATCGATCTGTCTATCTTTCTATCTATCTGTCTCCACTCTATAACAGTGGGTGGTCTCTCTGTGTGTGTCTGTAGTGGAGGGGGTATATTTGGTATCGACAGCATGCCTGATCTCCGGAAGAAGAAGCCGGTTCCTCTGGTCAGCGAAGTGGTGAGAGTCTCACTTCATGTGATGTTTATAACAGTTTATAACACATTATTAAACAATGCGGTGTTAATTAGAGCATGTGCTGGATCACTGTGTTGTTCTTATATAATGTATATAAATGTCTGAACGAGTTGTTTTGTGTTCAGCCGTTTGTCGTTAATAATCTTATTTTTATTGGTCTGTTTCTCCTCTGTCTGTGTTCGGGACCCCTGCAGGCCATGGTAAGTCACAATCATTTATTATGACATTGATAGAGATAAAGAGTGGTCAGGGTAACAGAAAGACAGATGTCTGTGATATGAAACATCATCAGTCACACAGGGACAGGATGGCTGTGCTGAGTGTGGATGAATCAGTGCTGCCCTGCAGACTTTAGAGACGCTGATAATGTTTTAGATTGACCGATTGTTCCTGTGTGATCATATTCAACATTCAGAACTTTCTCAGCTCTGAGAGATGAATCACATGACCATGTGACCCTACGCTTCATCAGAATGCAGCTTTTCTCCTTTTCACTCACTGTTTGAACTGCTTTAATGCTGAACTCAGTGTTTTGATGCTCTGACACGCCTGAATCAGCTGGCCAATCACAGCGCAGTACGTGCAGAGACACTGAACGACAGTGGACTGAATAGCTCCAGACTACAGCACACATAGCTGAATAGCTGCGGTGTGAAAGACTCTGTTCAGACGCTTTAGGAGGCCTTTCATTCTCTAACTCATCTCAGTTCAGCTCTGTGATCGTACAAGTCCAACAGGTCCACAGTGCAACAGGCAGTGAACTCATAACCCCGTAAACTGCGGTGAGGTTCACTTCCTCACTCCAATAACAGCAGAGACTACTGTTCACAAGTGTGGAATCACTTCAATAACTTATTTTATTATTCAGTCATAATGTATACTGAATTATTATAATCAGTGTTATAAACTAGACAACAGGAGATATCTTAGTTATTTTATTCAATATGTCAACTTTTTGATTTGACAATAACCTTTGAAATAAAGGAATTCAGGACATGAATTGTTTAACGTCTAGATATTCATTTTACACTTATTCAACATCCACATTTTATTAGAGCTTAATTCTAGATATTAATCTTATTAGAACTGCATTCTGAATATTAATTTTAATGAGATTTAATTCTGGATATTAATTTGATTAGAACTTTGCTCTGGATTTTACATTTTTTAGAACATTTTATACATACATTTGAATAAAAATCATTCTAGATATGACTTTATTCTGGATATTAATTTCATTATGACTTCATTCTATATATTAATATTATTAGAACTTCATTCTAGATATCAATATTATCAGGACTATTAATTATTCATTTTATTCAACTTTGTTCTAGATATTAATTTTATAAGAACTTCATTCTTTTTCTTAATTTTATTCAACTTTATTCTAGATATTAGTTTTATTAGGACTTCTGTTTGTTAATTTTATACAACTTTTTTCTAGATTTTAATTGTATAAGAACTTCATTGTGCGTATTCATTTTATTAGAACTTCATTCTTTTTATTAATTTTATTACAACTTCATTCTAGATATTAATTTGACTATAATTTTATACTTGATATCTGAATTTTAGAACTTCATTCTAGTTGTTAAATTCATCATAATGTAATGTTGTACATTCATTTTAACTTTATTTTCACTAGCAGAGTCACTTGTATGTATAGAGTTCTATGATAGAGAACAGTGGTTCTGGTCATATGAACCTTTTGGACAGCAGTGTTTCTCACACGAGCAGTTCCTGAGTTCACGCTCCTCATTTGTCTAATGAGCTTGGGGTGATGATGAGTTTATGGGGCTGAAGTTCAGCTGATCTGCTCTGAGTGAAATTGAAGTGAATTGAGTTGATCAGGCTTGAATGGAATTGAGAGAGAAGTGACCCTGACCCGGGTCCACTGGACCAGCTGCTTGGTTCTGGACGAAGTCCAGCGCTGGTCGTGTGTTTGTCTGGGAAGCATTCAGCTCCGACTGTCTTCAGAGCTGATCTGTGTATTCAGCGCTTCACTGAAAGCGTCAGACGGAAAGAAGACTCGGACCACAGCGAGCGAGAGGAGCGCTCCTCTGTCTCACCCTCACTCGCCCACCCCTCTGATCCGTGACTCACATGTGGAGTGTGTATCGCCTTTGTGTGCCTAAACACACTCGCCAATATCAGCACCCACGCTGACCCCACCGTGACTCAGCAGCGTCATAAACACCAACAAATAAAGCGCCGAGTAGCTGCACACACTGCAGAATCCAGCTCTTCATTTAAATGTGCTTTACTGTCCATCACTGGAAATCTGATTCAGCTGACCAGCACAAAGTAAACAACAGTGAACTCGCTCAGATTTTGATATCCTGTAAAGAAAATAATCTGTGACATATAAAATGTTTTCAACATGAAAAACATAAAATATAATATATAACGTGAAATATATTCATAAATTGTACTTATATTAAAATATTAATAATTAAAATAATAACTCCCCGTAACAATACTCTGTACATTATGGAAGCTTGTTTCCACCTGCGAAAACTAGTTGAAGTAATGACTTAATTTCTCATAATTTTGACTTATTAGTTGAAATAACTTATTATCTCAAAACCTATGACTTCCAATGTTGAAATAATGACTCATTTTACTCAAAATTAAATTGACTTATGTTGAAATAAGAACTTATTTTCTCAGTTTTTTCCTTATATTGAAATAACTTATTTTCACAAATTTTGAATTCATATGGAAATAACTTACATTTTAACAAAATTATTTTAAATTTTTTTTTTAAGTTTTAACAATGAAACCTTTACCAAATGTTTACTTATATCATCTTGATATTTTGATTCTTTTTTCATATTGTAACTTGTGTTAAAATAACTTCTCGAATTTTTTGACTTTGTGTTAGAAAATAATTAATTTCCTCAAAATTTGGATTCATGAAGTCAAGTCCAAATAATGTTATTTACTTAAAATGTTTACATATATTATCTTGAAATTTTGAGTTTCACTTGAAAAAATGTTTGACTTATGTTAAAATAATGGCTCATTTTCTTAAAATTAAATTGACTTAGGTTGATATAAGAATGTTTTTTTGTCCGTTTTTTTCCTTATGTTGAAATAACAACTTAAAATTTGGATTCTTGTGGAAATAAGTTTTTGGTCAGAATTTTAATTCAAGTTGAAATAATGTTATTTTCTCCAAATTTTTACACGTTATCTTGATATTTTGATTCTTTTCTCTTAAGTTGAGAAACTTCTCAAATTTTTTGATGTAGTGCTGAAATAACTCATTTTTTCAAAATTTGGAAAAAAATGGTCAGAATTTTAATTAATGTCAAACTATTTTTTTAATTAATGTCAAAATAGTTATTTTCTCAAAATGGTTTTATATATTATTTTAAAATGTTGACTCAGTTTTCTCAAATGTATGACTTTTATGTTGATAATATCTTTTCTCAAAATTAAATAATAATAATAATAACTTATTTTCTCACAATTTGGATTCATGCAGAAATTCAAAAATGTTTTTCTCAGAGGTTTTATTTTTTCAAAACTTTGACATATATTGCCTTCAAATTTTGACTCATCAAAAATTTTGACCGACAGTGTTGAAATGATGTATTTTCTCAAAATCTTTACCTATTATATCAAAATACTGATTTCTTTTCCTGAAATAATTGTTGGCTTTTGTGAAACTTAAATAAGACATTAATTCCACAAAAGGAAAACTCTAGAGATACTAAAATCTCCATAAAATGAGTCACTATTTAGCAGAAGTCAGAATCGAGTGGAGATACAGAGCCAGACTGTAGACAGTCAGTCAGTTTGACTGCTGTGGGAATCAGACGGACTGTTTGTCTTCTACCCTGTATGGCTCTGTAATGAACAGCGTCTCAGCTGTGAGGCCTTTTCAGAGCAGCATAGTAACACAGCACACCGGAGACTTTCTCCTGAGGCTGAACCTAAAGTCTGCGGCTCCTGGAGGAGAGAGAGAATCAGTGGAGGAGAAGAGGAAGAAGAAAGACTGTGTGATGCATTAGTGAAGACGTGTAAGTGCGGTGAGTCGTCAGCAGGTCTGAGTAGCCGCTCTCAGCGTGAGGGGACGAAGCGGCCGCTGTGCTGAGCGCTGGTCAGTACAGAGATGCTTAACCTCTCAGATTATCAGCGTTCAGGTCCTCCTCTCTCTGTACAGCGCTCTCTCCTCCTCTCTCTCTCTCTCTCTCTCTTTCTCTCCTCTTCTCTCTCTCTCTTTCTCTCCTCTTCTCCTCTCTCTCTCTCGCTCTCTCTCCTCCTCTCTCTCTCGCTCTCTCTCCTCTTCTCCTCTCTCTCTCTCGCTCTCTCTCCTCCTCTCTCTCTCGCTCTCTCTCCTCTTCTCCTCTCTCTCTCTCACTCTCACCTCTTCTCCTCTCTCTCCTCTTCTTCTTTCTCTTTGTCTCTATTTGTCTCTCTCACACTCTCTCTCTCCTCCTCTCTCTCACTCTCTCTCCTCTTCCCTCTCTCTTTCTCTCTCTTTGTCTCTCTCTCGCTCTCTCTCTCCTCCTCTCCCACTCTCACTCTCTCTCCTCTTCTTCTCTCTCTTTCTCTCCTCTTCTCCTCTCTCTCTCTCTTGCTCGCTCTCCCTTTTTTTCTCCTCTCTCTGTCTCTCTCTCTCTCGCTCTCTTGCTCTCTCTCCTCTTCTCTCTTTCTGCATCTTCCTATGTCTCGCTTGTTGTCCCTCTCTCTCTGTATCTCTCTCTCTCTCTCTTTGTCTCTCTATCTATCTATCTATCTGTCTTTCTCTATTCCTGTCTGTCTGTCTGCCTGTCTGTCTGTATCTATCTGTCTGTCTGTCTGTCTATCTATTTATCAGTCTCTGTCTCTCTCACTCTTGTTTCTCTCTCTCTGTTTCTCTATTCCTGTCTGTCTCTCTCTATCCATCTATGTATCTCTCTCGTTTCTCTCTGTTCTCTTTTTTCTCTTCTTTTTTCTCTATCTCGCTCTCTCCTTTCTGTCTCTTTTCTTGCTATCTACCTTCTCTCTTTCTCTCTCCTGTCTTGCTTTCTCGTCTATCTCTTTCTTTCTCCTCCCTCTCTCCTTGTCTCTTTCTGTTCTCTTTTTCCTCCTTTGTCTCTCTCCCTTTCTCTCTCTGTATCTCTCTCTCTCTGTATCTCTCTCTCTGTGTTCTCTTTATCTCTCTCTCTATTTCTCTGTCTCTCTTTCTCTGTCCATATCTCTTTCTCATGTTTCTCTCTCTCTCTGTATCTCTCTCTCTCTGTATCCCAATTCAGTTCAATTCAAATAACTTTATTGGCATGAATTGTAGTGAACAATTGTTGCCAAAGCAAGTAGTAGAATATTACAGTAGAATATGAAGATGATGTTGAAGAGGAAAATAATGTATAATGTATCTGTCTCTCCCTCTCCGTCTCTCTCTCTCTCTCTCTCTCTCTCTCTGTCTGTCTCTCTCTCTGTCTCTCTCTCAGTCTCTGGTCCAGTGCAGGAAGGCTGGTATCTCGTACGCTCTGCAGTCTCGTTCTTCACTCAAAGACGAGGAGCTGGTAAGAGAAACGCAGCGGCGCTCATATTTATGATAAATCCTCAGCACCACCGTCATTAAAGCGATAGTCTGGTCAAATCTAGTTCACTCAGTTTTCCTCTCTTACTGGACATGTAGTCCATCAGCCAAGTGTCTGAAGTTTGCTTCTTTAGTTTTAGCACTGGAGCTACGAGGCTAATGTAGCTAATACGTAATAGAAGCATATACCCCACCGATTAGCATGGTGCTAACTGCATATCTGCATCATCACTTACTCTCCTGAAAGCCTGTGGAGCTGTTCAGTATCTCTGACAGTCTTGATTATGTGGTTTCTGACTCTGTATAACACACAGTTACCTGTAAACATGGGCTAAATCAGAGCTGCCCAGAGCATCGTTTGGTTTGACCCCCCAGATAGTGACCCTATCCCCCACCCCCCCTCACCCAGTGACAGTACAGACATGTTTCATAGTATATACCACTTACCTCCTTCTTATTTACTGTTTAAAACTGTAAAGTAGTTTAGTAATCAGATATAATAACATATTTTTTAAGATTCTGTTTAAAACGTAACTTTCAGCAAAAAATTCGGGCACCCCAGGACTGAAGTATGTCACATAGCTATAAACAGTAGTGGCTTCGTGGAACCTGTATTTTTTTCTGCAAATTCGAGTTAAGTGTGTGCTGATTTAAGCACCATGCTAATTGGTGGGGTATAAGCTTCCTTTATTTCTTAGCTACATTAGCCTCGTAGCTCCAGTGATAAAACTAAAGCAGCGAACTGCAGATGCCAAACCTGTCCTGGCTGATCTGCCACATTGGAAGTAAAGGGGGATTTTTTTGTTGCTCAGACTCGCTTTAAGCCCACTGTGCTGAGCTAAACTCTTACTGCCCCTTCCTCCATTCTGCCTCTACACCATTTGGGCAAAACTTGTTCTTCCCAAACAGTGCTGTCACTGTAACCCCGACTCTCTTGCTCCACCCCCCCAAACAGAACACATCATCAGCAGAGCACCTTCCACCCCCCCCCCCCCCCCCCAACACTACTCAGGGCTTTTTAAAGACAGAATAACAGAGCGAGGCCAGGGAGCGAGGCGGATGCCCACAGGCTGTTCTACAGCTCACTTTTGGCTGGCTGTCAGTGACACCTGCCTGCCTACACCTGCACATGGAGCAGCGTCTCTACGACAACGAGCAGCGTGATCAGAGCATCACATTTACAGCAGCGCTTTCACTACAGAGCTCACTTACCCACCTCACCACTCTTACACCAAACACAGCTCTTATTCAGTTTAGCACTGGAGCTGCAGGGCTAATGGAGCTAACCAGTAAGGGCTTATACCCCACCAGTTAGCACGGTGCTAACTGCACGCCTAAATCATCACACGCTCGCTTGTATCTGCATTTCTGGACAAGCTACCTTGAGATAATGTCTGTTAGAGAAAACGCTCTGCAATAAAATAGAATTGAATTGAATTGAATCGAGGAGAAGTTTATTCCATCGGCTGAGTTACGTGGCTGCGTGTGGAGTTGTCTGAGGAACGTGACGAGTCTTGGGAAAGATAATTAATCTCTGGAGGAAAATCTGAAGGCTGGTTGCCAGATAAGTGCTGTTATAATCCATCTTTTACAGCCCCCACAACACCTACAGCATCTTTAACTGGTCACCCTGAGATCACCCCTTCATCTCTGCCTCTCTCTCTCTTTCAGTAACACTCCTTCGCTCTGTATCTCTCGCTCAGTTCCGTTTAGCTCAGGATGAATTTTATCGCCATACGGACTAAAGATGAACAAAGTTTGGGAGTTTTAAAGAATGATAAAATAAAATAATAAACGTTTACAGTCTGTACACGTTTACAGTGGGAGGTCAGTCTTAGAAGTCGTGTAGAATTATTACTGACATTTTTCTGTTCTATTTAATGGATTATATCAATTACAAAAACCTTGTGTCTCCAAAATTCCTTACAGGAGAAGAAAACAACGTTCTTGTAATGGACGTTATTGGAACCAGACTCTTTTTTGAAGTAATGTTGGTTGATTTCTGTTGGTCCGTTCATGAAATTTAACGTTGTTTTCATATTATGTAAAAAAATGACGACAGCGTTGGAGATGCAATGTTTTTGCCTGATAGTGATGAGATGTATGTTTCTGTGTTATTGACCTGTCCTCTCTCTGTCCTGCAGAAGACCCATGTGTATAAGAAGACCCTGCAGGCTCTGATCTACCCCATCTCCTGCACCACACCGCATAACTTCGAGGTCTGGACGGCCACCACGCCCACCTACTGCTACGAGTGCGAGGGGCTGCTGTGGGGGATCGCCCGGCAGGGCATGCGCTGCTCTGAGTGCGGGGTCAAATGTCACGAGAAGTGCCAGGAGCTCCTCAACGCCGACTGTCTACAGAGTGAGACGCGCTGGAGATATTTAGATACCCAGCTGCTTTTAATACACACTATCACGTCTTCTTTGTTTTCAGACCTCAGTATGAGGGAGGCACCAAAATGCCTCCAGAACATGTAAAGAAAAAATGTATCTGGAAAAACAAGATTAAAAAGGTATAAGGAAGTGTTGAAATCAAACCCTCAGTAGTAATTTGAATGCTAATGAAAACGAGAACCAGTTTTCTTCACTGTCCTGCGCTGGTCAGCACAGACGCATTCAGTTCATGGCTCATTCTGTAGCTTACACAGTGTAATAATTTCATTATGCTTATTAATTGTGAACTGTTTGTATTTGGCAGCTCAGTTTTTTGCTATTGAAAGCAAGTTTTACCAATTATGAACGTGTTTTCTTTATTCTTTTGTAGTTTTTATGTTTCTTTATTTGTTTGTAGTTTTTATGTTTAGTGCGTTTAATCAAAACAATATATAAAACTGCAAATTAAGGAAAAGTTTCCAGCCAGATATGTCTTGAATTTCGGTCTCTGTTTTGTTCCAGAACAAAATGTAATGAGCTTTACTGCTCATTACATTTAAGAAAGATGGTTTAGTTATTTGGGTGTTCATAGTGATGCCACAGCCATCCGTAAGTAAACCCAAAGCTTTAGCACAGAGCTGCGCTATGATCCCTAAACCTTTACAGGGATGTTTTCTTACTGCATTGGAAAGAAACAGTGAAAATGGGACGTTACTCAAGGGGCGGTGTATCCACACAGTGTAGTTCGTACTGACTATAAGCTGATGAATAGAATTTCTTATGTTTAGGACTGTAAATCAGCGTAACAACCACCAGCTAAAACTCTTGTTCTTGTCAATCATCCCTGTCTCTCTCTCTCTGTCTCTCTCTCTCTCTCTGTCTGTCTGTCTGTCTGTAGGAGCGGCGGAGAAGAGCAGTAAGACCGGAGCTGAAGATCGCACCCAGCACATCATCTCAGCCATGAAGGACCGCATGAAGATCCGCGAGAGGAACAAGCCGGAGATCTTCGAGGTGATCCGAAGCGTCTTCAACGTCAGCAAACTGAATCACGCCCAGCAGATGAAGACCATCAAACAGACCGTCCTGGACGGAACCTCCAAGTGGTCGGCCAAAATCTCCATCACAGGTGATCGCCACGGAGATTACAGATAGATCACAAACACCCACTGTGATGAATTTCACAAGCCAGCGCTTTTTTGATCTGATAGCTTCGAAAAAGAGTTTGGAATCTGTGTTTTCAACCATATAAAAACAGTGGTCTTTGAGATAAATGTGTAAAATGATCCTCATAGAGGGGCCCAGACATTACACTCTGTGGCAGTGTGCTTATCTCAGATGGAGTCGATGCAGTTCACTTCTTTAGCTGTAGATGAAGCTAATGAAGCAGTCTGCTGTACTATTTTTAGCTAAGTAGGACCCTTTCTTCCATATTTATAGACAGCAGGGTATCACAGTGTCTGACACAGTGTCAGAAAAACCAGGAGGGAAATATCCAAGAAACATGAACCTCCAGTGCTAAAAGTAAAGAAGGAAACTTCACATTTCCTTCAGATGCCAGTACATTTGAGATGATATATATATATGTACTATATATAATATACACACAGACACACCATGAGTGCGTTTAAAAAATGTGTTCTACACTGAAATCTTAAAATATCATAAAACAGTGTCTCAGTCATCAGGCAGTGAATTCATAACCATTTCATGTAGTAACTCTCTGTGAGGGAGCTTTTAGAGAGGGACGTCTGGTTCCTATCACCACCACTGTGAACAGTTCTGACTCTGTAAGTTTCTCTAGAACAGAGCGTTTCACACCAAACCACTCTGAACGACTCTGTTTACATCTCAACTATTAATTATGCAGAGATTTGGAAACTTCCCCTTTAAGTGAGCGTGGGAGGATGATTATCTGGTTGTTGTCGTGTTGAATCGGTTGATGTGTCAGCTGTAGTCTGGTCGTGTTGTTGGAGTGTAAAAGCTTCTCCCCTGCAGTGAGTGTTACACGTCTCGCACTGATTACTGAGGAATCATACTGAGCTCTTATCACTCAGTCCACTCTGACTGGCTGCTTTTCCACTAATGGAGCTCCGATTGTCCTGCATAGTGATTTAGCTTTTGTTTGAGACAACGGCTCAGACACCGATTCTATAGATAATAGTGCTTTTTCAGACAGGTCTGTGAAGAGGTAACAGCTCTTTTCTCTGCATGTCGATAATGTGTTGAGAGTTCTTCAGCTTTTTCCAGCTGCACTCAAACAGTGGCTGGTTTACTTAAGCTGTAAAACTCCATGGTGGTTTGTGTTGGTCACTATCAAGTTCTATTGCTTTGTATATATACATATATATATATATATATATGTGTGTGTGTGTGTGTGTGTGTCTCTATCGGTCAGTCTGATGGACGAGTCTGGGTTTGGAGAATACCAGGAGAACGTTACCTGCCTGACTGCACTGTGCCAGCTGTAGAGTTTGGTGGAGGAGGGATGATGATATGGGGTTGTTTTTCAGGGGTTGGTCTAGAACCCTTAGTTCCAGTGAAGGGAAATCTTAATGCTTCAGCACCAAGACATTTTGGACAATTGTACACTTCCAACTTTGTGTGAACAGTTTGGGGAAGAACCTTTTCTGTTCCAGCATGACTGAGCGTCAGTGTACAAAGCAGCTCCATAAAGGCCTGACTGGGTGAGTTTGGTGTGGAAGAACTTGACTGAGCCCTGCCTCAACCCCAATGAACACCTTTGGGATGACCTAGAACGGCGATTATGAGCCAGACCCTCTCGTCCAACATCAGTGTCTGACCTCACAAATGCTCTTCTGGATGCTCTCCAAAATCTTGTAGGAAGCTTCCCAGAAGAGTGGGAGCTGTTTCAGCTGCAAACGGGGGACCAACTCCATATTAATGCCTATGGATTTAGAATGGGATTCATAAAGGCTCCTGTAGGTGTGATGTGTAGGTAAGTACACACTATATGGGCAAACAGATGTGGATGCTTGTCCTCACCTATATGAGCTTGTTGGACACCTCCTTCCAAAGCCATGGGCATTCATTTGCAGCTATAAGAGCCTCCTCTCTACTGGAGTGTGTCTGTGGGAAAAAGAGCGTTCGTGAGGTCAGACGGTGATGCTGGACGAGAAGGCTTGGCTCGCAGTCCATGTTCCAATTAATCTCAAAGGGGTTCAGTGGTGTCCATGGAAACCCATTTCCTGAAGCTCCAGATGCAAAGTTCTTGTGCTGATGTTGCTCCCAGAGGCAGATGGGAACTCTGTAGTGAGTGAGGCAAAAGTGGTTTGGCAGTTTTTACACCCTACACGCTTCAGCGTTGAGCTGTTGTTGCTCCTATATGCTACCATTTCACAGTTATAGCACTTACAGTTGACTAGGGCAGACCTAGCAGGGCAGGAAGTTCATGAGCTGACTTTAGGTAAAGGTGACATCCTATGATTAAAGTCTCTGAGCTCTTCAGTGCAACCCACAGCTATGTGCTCTCTATATAGGAATCAGCTGAGGACAATTCCAGAGTGTAATCAATGCCAAACCTTGCGCTGACACTCAACCAGCATGAGCTCCTCTGAGCAGCTGGCTGAGGATCTGAGAATGACTAACTGATGCCTACAAGGCTATAAAAAGATCTCAAAACTTTTCCATCTTACTGGACATTTATTTCTTTTTTTCTCTGTGTTTGTGTCTACAGTACTGAGCGCTCAGGGTCTGCAGGCTAAAGACCGGACCGGCTCCAGTGACCCGTACGTGACCGTGCAGGTGGGGAAGACCAAGAAGAGAACCAAAACCATCTACGGCAACCTCAACCCCGTTTGGGAGGAAACCTTCAACTTGTAAGTTCGGTTGTGTTTCGTAATATTTTCGTAATTATTTTGGGCTCAAACCCTGAGTCAAAGCTAAGCGCCCGACTATCTGCTAGTCTGAAGGCACTGTAGAACTTTATGGTGACTCCTGCGTTTAGTAGAAGTAGACCAAACTCTGAAAATGAGCAAAGATGTCCTGAAGAACCTCAAACAGTTCGGAAATGGTTCTCTGAAACAGCTACAGTGGTTCCACACCATGCTAAGGAGTAAAGTTCCTTGTCTGCCCAATTGAAAAAGTGGTCAATAGCAGCTATTTTGTTACTTTTCTAAACGCAACTTACCTTTAATTGACTGAGCCACGGACATTTGCTTTCATCAATAACCACTGGTTGCCTTTTGTGCACAAAATAGCTTAGGCTAACTTTAGCAGTACATTCTCCTGATCGACTTGTCTAGTGTGTTCCCTCAAAAAGCATTTGAGCATAAAGACTTGGTAATTATTTTTTAGAGTCGTTTAATCCGTGGACTATTATGACTAAAACTGACTAAAAAATGGTTTTGTTTCCTTTTTTCTCCATAATTGAAAGCTCTTCTTTCATCTTTTATGAAGCAATAGAAGCCATATTGCCTGATATGAACTTTACAGAGCACTTTTTAAAGAAACAATGTGGATCATATGAACATTATAGAGCTTTTTAAATAAAACAGTAGAAGCCATATCGCCCCCTACGCTTCCTGTAGTGTATTACAGTCTGTCAGAATGACTGTGTGGATCATATGAACATTATAGAGCTTTTTAAATAAAACAGTAGAAGCCATATCGCCCCCTACACTTCCTGTAGTGTATTACAGTCTGTCAGAGTGACTGTGTGGATCATATGAACATTATAGAGCTTTTTAAATAAAACAGTAGAAGCCATATCGCCCCCTACACTTCCTGTAGTGTATTACAGTCTGTCAGAGTGACTGTGTGGATCATATGAACATTATAGAGCTTTTTAAATGAAACAGTAGAAGCCGTATCGCCCCCTACACTTCCTGTAGTGTATTACAGTCTGTCAGAGTGACTGTGTGGATCATTATAGAATGTTTGTTTTTCAGTAAACAGTGTTTGTCTCACTGTTGCAGTCCTGCTTGTCGTGATCCTCACAGTCAGCATTGTGAGTCTCTGTAGAATCTCCTGCTTGCAGTGAGAGCAGTAATACAGGTTCTGATCCCAGCAGAGATAGAAAGGCCACACTGAAGCCTTCTCCACTGCAAAATTGCAGTCCTGACCTGGATTATATAACTCTGTAAGAGCGAACTCAGCCCTGCTGTTTCTGCTGGGAGCCGCGACCTGAATGAAGTGTTTTTCAGAAACTGTTTCTAAAAGTCCAGGTCAGGCACAGCGGGCTGTTGATGACGGACTGCAGAAATGTCTCGATCTATAATAATAAATCATTTACCGAACCATATGATTTTTCCTACTCAGCTCCACTGTCTCTCTCTATCTCTCTCTCTCTCTCTCTGCTCTCCATCTCGTTTCCTGTATTAACCCTAAGGAGTCTAGAGTCATTGTCTTTGTTTTTCATTTTAAATTACAGAATTATTTGGAAATAACTACACAGTTAAAGGTAATTACATAGGTAAAGGGAAACTCCACCAATTTTCTTTTCAAAATTTCTGCATAATTCAGTGTGTGAGATGTGAACAGAGAGATTCAGAGTGGTTTGGTGTGAAATGGTTCAGATGTCTTTACAGTGGTGGTGATAGGAACCAGGGGTCGCCATGACTACAACACAAATATAGACATTTTATTTACTATCCAGAACCACCAGTGAACCTACACGAGTCTTCTGAGTTTATATGGAATGTTGATGATGGAAAAATAGAGGAAAATTCTTTGGGAACTATTTTGCCTCACCACACCCTGCATGTATTCCTCCACCATGAATGGATTTTAAGGCCAAAACCTTTTTAAAACTACCATAAAACAGGGTCTCAGTCATCAGGCAGTGAATCCATAACCATTTCGTGTAGTAACTTTCTGTGAAGGAGCTTTTAGAGGTGGATGTCTGGTTCCTATCACCACCACTGTGACCAATTCGGACTCTGTAAGTTTCTCTAGAACAGAGCGTTTCACACCAAACCACTCTGAACGACTCTGTTTACATCTTAACCACTTAATTATGCAAAAATCTTAAAAAACAGGTTGAGATTGTGATTTACATTCTGAATGGACAGGGTTGAGCCTGCACTTCTGACTTTTTTCTGTTTGTTTCAGTGTCAAAAACCACACAACCACAACGAAAGTACTGTAAAGCTACTAATAATAATCATAACTCTCTCTCTTTGTGATCTCCAGTGAGTGCCATAACTCGTCTGACCGTATAAAGGTGCGCGTGTGGGACGAGGATGACGACATAAAGTCTCGAGTGAAGCAGAGGCTGAAGAGGGAGTCGGATGATTTTCTGGGTCAGAGCATCATCGAGGTCCGAACGCTCAGCGGAGAGATGGACGTCTGGTACAACCTCGGTGGGTTTCGTTCAGGAGTGTGTTTGGGAGTGCGTCGTGCGTTCTGTGATCTCATGAATAAGATCAGGTGAAGGAAGCTAACCACCAAGCGAAAGCTAACCTAGCTCACATTACTGAGCCACCAAGCCAGCTCTGAAGATGTCTCCATATAAAAGCTGGGTAATGTTTAGTGAGTGGACACACTGGGTTTAAGGGCAATTGAGTGATGGTTTAGACCTACAGTTAGCACCATGCTAATTGGTGGGGTATAAACGTTCATTATATGTTAGCTATATTATAGCTCCAAAACTAAAGAAGCAATACTATCACTTTAACCTTTATTCATGTGTAAAATGTGAATAAACCATCCTGTTTACTGATCTAGGGTCAGTCAGTGTCCACAGTAATTTTTAATATTCCGGTATGGCTGCTCATATGAACTATGTTAACTATATATCCAGTACAAAAGCTGAGAAAATGATCTGTTAAGCTGTTTATCTGGTGGTTATTTGCCCAGAAAAACATCAGAATGCATATAAATAACATTAATGCAGCTGAATCTCTCCATCCAATATGTGGTTTATCTAATCAGCGCTTCATTAAATTAAATCAGGTGATGGAATTAAATAAATAAATAAATCTGTGTGATGGTTGGAGTCAGGAGCCAAACCGCGTACTTCTGAATTCTGACTACTGTTTATGTTTATTTTTATGTATTGCGGTGATATATAGTGTTGTATTATCACTCTATAGTGTTATATAATTATGCTCAATGCCCCAGAAAATAGCTTTAACCCATTTTCCTGGCTGCCTAAGACATCTGCGCTGTTCTGTATGTTTATATATATATATAGACACAGATTCTTCACTCTGCTCCTTCAGTCTGATGAAATATTCAGTATGCGACTCATGAAGTCTGCAGATTTGAATATATGTCATGCACACATGATAACTTCAAACGCTCTTTTCTTCTCTCTCTCTGGCTGAATTTGAGTTCTCCTGTTCTGTCTATAGTCCAGGACCGGTTCTGAGTGTCGCTCTGTGACGCTCTATTAAAATTCATGAGAAAGTTCATCTGCATGTTGGAGTTGGTTCAGTTGGATCGTGTGTCATTTTCAATTCAAACTCAGCCATGTTCAGATTTGAGTGCTGAATATGTTCCTGTTTGACAGTTTCAGACAGACACTTTGTGTACATAGAACTCCTTGTGTTTTTATTCATTGCACCATTTGAACTAAGTTTGATTCCTATGTTAAAACTTTTAAAACAGTTAAATGTTAAACTCATAAATAACCAGGAGCTGCCAGCAGGTTCGGCCTTCCATGCCTCAGTCCTGTAACTCAAATAAGTCAGTTTGTATTGTGTTCCATGTAGTTACTCCCTAATGATCAGCTGTAGGATGTAGTGAGTCTGGACAAAACTTCATCGTCCATTTATCACGTAAAAAAATAAAAACAAAAACCGGAGTCACGAGGTTTCAGTGTGACATCAGTGTGTGAAATGAAGTGAAACTGTCGTTTCTAAACTGAAGTTGTGTGTGTGTCCACAGAAAAGCGCACGGATAAGTCGGCCGTATCCGGAGCGATCCGGCTGCAGATCAGCGTGGAGATCAAAGGAGAAGAGAAAGTGGCACCTTATCACGTACAATACACCTGCCTGCATGAGGTAAACACCTCACACACATATTTTGAGTCTGTAGGCGGAGCCTTATTTAAGCCACGCCCCTGCATTTTAGAGCAGGAAGTGAGACTGCATCCCTGTCCCTCGTGGCCACATGGCCACAGTTAGATCCCATTGATTTGAAGTAAATGTGTCTGAAAATCAGTGTGGAATATTAAGAACTGTCACTACTGAAACGTATTTTCTGCTGCTGTGAACTTTTTAGTGTTTTAATGAAAAATATGGTGATTTTCTGTGTGAACAGCTGGTCAAAGCTGTGTTTGCTGGTCGTGTACTGGCTGTGTTTTTGAGCTCAAAATGAGCTAAAACAGTCACTACTGAAACATTCTGTAAAGTATGGGTGTTATGACTGTCTTGGTAGTGACAAAATGGAACAATTAGTCATTTGTTTTACTAAAAGAAACGTAATGAGTGTATAGGGTCGCTCAAAGCACTAGAATTTTAGTCTAAAGCCCAAATTGGTTAAAAGTCTAAATGTGTTTTCAACCATGGTCGTAGAATGACCCGTACGTGGCAGTATATTTACGTAATAATGATGCCCTCTATCTATCCTATACTCTCCCTCTCTCTCTGAAGAATATCTTCCACTTCCTGATTGACGCCGATGGTGCGGTGAAGTTGCCGGTTGCTCGTGGCGACGATGCGTGGAAGGTTTATTTTGATGAAGTGGAGCAGGAGATCGTGGACGAGTTCGCCATGCGCTACGGCATCGAGTCCATCTACCAGGCCATGACGTAAGACCTGAACAGCTGTGTGTGTGTGTGTGTGTGTGTGTGTGTGTGTGTGTGAGCCATTCCAGAGCACTCTGAGCAGTTGTTTTATCTTGATACAAGAATTGAAAAAAAGTTTCATAAACCCTAAAATAAACTTACAAAACTGTTACCTGCTATTAAATGCAATTAATAGTAATAGCTCTGGTTGCTTACAGAAGCATTAAGGTACCTACAGTAATGCTGTTATCTTGATAGTTCTCTGTGAACCTCAGCTAACATGATTCAGACACGACTGCTCTGTAAAAATGAAAAGTCAGGTCAGCTTCGAAATTTTAAGTCAACTTTCTGCTCAGTGTTTTTAAATTTCCTCGACTTGGTTCAGTCAGAGGTTCTCTTACATTTGTGATGCTGCATCTCAGTCGGATCTACGAAGTACAGTGTGAGTTTACTCAGAAGGCACAGTGAATGTGGTTGCCTCCTTATAGTGAGACATTTGCTTACATTTCTTTGTTGGATTTTTACTCAGTTCCTCCCTCAGTTTAGTCACTGCCAGTTCCCACCCACACTCTGTGACTCCCCCACCACACTGTGCCCCCTGCCTGGGGGAGCTGAGTAAACATTCAACCAAAATCAACCAGTTTCAGCCTATAAGGAAGTAGCTACAGTGGTGCTTGAAAGCGGTGTTATGGTGTTGTGAACCCTTTAGAATTTTCTGTATTTCTGCATAAATTTGACCTAAATGTCATTCAGTTTCCTAATAATAGATGAAGAGAACCAAATTAAACAAATGAGACAAAAATATTAGGCTTGGTCATTTATTTATTGAGGAAAATGATCCAATATTACAGATCTGTGATGGTCAAGGTATGTGAACCTTTGCTTTCAGTATTTAGTGTGACCCTCTGTGACTAAGTATTTCCGGTAGCTGTTATGTTGCTGTTATGTTATACTGCTGCTTCAGGTCCTTCCACAACAGGTCTATAGGATTAAGGTCTGGACTTTGACTTGGCCATTCCAAAACATTAACTTTATCCTTAATGATTCTTTAGTAGAACGTCTTGTGGGCTTGGGGTCGTTGTCTTGCTGCATGATCCACGTTCTCTTGAGTTTCAGCTCACAGACAGATTGTCCTGACATTTTCCTTTAGAATTTGCGGGTATAATTCATTGTTTCATCAATGATGGCAAGTCATACTGGCCCATACGCAGCAAAACAGGCCCAAACCATGATACTACCGCCACCATGTTTCACAGATGGGTTTTTATACTGGAATGCAGTGTTTTCCTTTCTCCAAACATGACGCTTCTCAGTTAAACAAAAAAAGATCTATTTTGGTCTCATCCATGTGAGATGGTTGAGACCGTCCATGTGTCCATGTGATCTTTAGCAAACTGCAGATGGGCAGCAATGTTCCTTTTGGACAGCAGCAGCTTCTCCTTGCAATGCACACCATTGTTTGCCAGTGTTCTCCTGATGGTGGATTCATGAACATTAGCATTAGCCACTGTGAGACAGGCCTTTAGAAGTTACCCTGGGTTCCTTTGTGACCTCGCGGACTTTTACACGCCTTCTTTTTGGTGTGATCTTTGTTGGTCGACCACTCCTGGGGAACGTAACAGTGTAACAGAGTTTCCTCCATTTGTACACAGTCTGTCTGACTGTGGATGGTGGAATCCAAACATCTGGAGATGGTTTTGTAACCTTTTCCAGCGTGATGAGCATCAACAGCTCTTCTTCTGAGGTCCTCAGATATCTCCTTTGTTCGTGTCATGATACACCTCCATAAACATGTACTGTGAAGGTCAGACTGTGACAGATCCCTGTTCTTTAAATTGAACAGGGGTGGTCACTCACCCCCATTGACTGAAAACACCTGACTCTAATTTCACCTTCAAATGACCTGCTAATCCTAAAGGTTCACAAACTTCTGCCACCCACAGATATGAACTATTGGATCGTTTTCCTCAATAAATAAAAGACCAAGTCTAATATTTTGTTTAATTTGGTTCTCTTTATCTACTTTTAGGATTTGTGTGAAAATCTGATGAAGTTTTAAGTCAAATTTATGCAGAAATATAGAAAATTCTAAAGGGCTCACAAACTTTCAGGCGCCACTGTGCATTCACTTTTTTGATTTGTTGACCTGACCTAAGAAGTTATTGGCTGTTTTAAACGATGTGCTGGAGGAGCTCGTGCTGCCCTCCCAACACCGTGTGATAGAGGGAGCGCTGGACTAAACTGTGGGAAAAAATTGGGCTATTCTTTCATAACGTTTATTCACAGAATCCAGCAACTGCCCACTGGCTCCTATTGTGCGTTTCAAGACAACAGGTTTCCTGTTGTTTTCTAAGGCAGAGATTATGCTGAAAAACGAGGCGGAGTTCCTGTGATCGTCCTGGCTTTACCTGCTGGAGGTGATCGGCTTATAAAACAGTTACACTCTTAAATCAGAGATTAAAAACCCACATTTTTAATAAAGAGGGCGAATCAGAGCTGCTCGTGTCACAGGCGTAAAGGCAGTAAGTGCTGTTTAAAAGCCTCTGCGTGTGTTTAAATGGTCTGAATCTGTTAGAATGGTGGAGGATTCAGTCTCTTTAGGGAAACAGGCTTCTTTTCACTGAACTGCTGAACTATTGAGCTCATTACTGCCTTTTACTGCATAAATGAATAATAGATTCAACGAGTCTGACTTAACATTCGTTCTGTGTGAGTGTACGTGTGTGTGTGTGGTAATAAATGGAGAGGTGGAGATGAAAGAGGAGGGTGAGAATTGTGTGTGTGAGTGTTGTATGGTAATGGGAACGGCACATTCCTCAGTAAATAAATGAAATATTGTAAATGGTACGTTATACTAACAAATACATAATTCATTCAGTGAATGTGGATGATTTTAGAGAGACAAGCGTTCCTATTTTCTCATATTTGTCTTTTGTTTTTCCCCACATTTCTCTCTCTCTCTCTCTGTCTCTCTCGCTCTTTCTCTCTGCAGACACTTTGCCTGTCTCTCCTCTAAGTATATGTTACCTGGTGTTCCTGCAGTAATGAGCACTCTGCTGGCCAACATTAATGCATTCTTCGCTCATCCGACCTCAGCCACCAGCGTCTCCGCCAGCGACCGCTTCGCCGCCTCCAACTTCGGGGTAACACGCACACACACACACACACACACACACACACACAACACACACACACACACACAACACGCACACACACACACACACACACACACACACACAACACACACACACACACACACAACACACACACACACACACAACACGCACACACACACACACACACACACACAACACACACACACACACACACACACACACACAACACACACACACACACACACACACACACACACATTTCAGTGCTACATTTTCCACTAAAAGTCACTCCAGCACATCCAAAAAGTGTTCAGTGGAGCTCTATCACTCCTACTCACCCCAAAGTGTTCAGTGGAGCTCTATCACTCCAACTCACCCCAAAGTGTTCAGTGAAGCTCAATCACTCCAACTCACCCCAAAGTGTTCAGTGAAGCTCAATCACTCCAACTCACCCCAAAGTGTTCAATAGAGCTCCATCACTCCAACTCATCCCAAAGTGTTCAGTGAAGCTCTATCACTCCAACTCATCCCAAAGTGCTCAGTGGAGCTCCATCACTCCAACTCACCCCAAAGTGTTCAGTGAAGCTCAATCACTCCAACTCACCCCAAAGTGTTCAATAGAGCTCCATCACTCCAACTCATCCCAAAGTGTTCAGTGGAGCTCCATCACTCCAACTCATCCCAAAGTGTTCAATAGAGCTCCATCACTCCAACTCATCCCAAAGTGTTCAGTAGAGCTCCATCACTCCAACTCATCCCAAAGTGTTCAGTAGAGCTCCATCACTCCAACTCATCCCAAAGTGTTCAGTAGAGCTCCATCACTCCAACTCATCCCAAAGTGTTCAGTAGAGCTCCATCACTCCAACTCACCCCAAAGTGTTCAGTAGAGCTCCATCACTCCAACTCATCCCAAAGTGTTCAGTAGAGCTCCATCACTCCAACTCATCCCAAAGTGTTCAGTAGAGCTCCATCACTCCAACTCATCCCAAAGTGTTTAGTAGAGCTCCATCACTCCAACTCACCCCAAAGTGTTCAGTAGAGCTCCATCACTCCAACTCATCCCAAAGTGTTTAGTAGAGCTCCATCACTCCAACTCATCCCAAAGTGTTTAGTAGAGCTCCATCACTCCAACTCTTGCCAAAGTGTTCAGTAGAGCTCCATCACTCCAACTCACCCCAAAGTGTTCAGTAGAGCTCCATCACTCCAACTCATCCCAAAGTGTTCAGTAGAGCTCCATCACTCCAACTTATCCCAAAGTGTTCAGTAGAGCTCCATCACTCCAACTCTTGCCAAAGTGTTCAGTGGAGCTCTTTCACTCCAACTCACCCCAAAATGTTCAGTGGAGCTACATCACTCCAACTCACCCCAAAGTGTTCAGTAAAGCTCCATCACTCCAACTCTTACCAAAGTGTTCAGTGAAGCTCCATCACTCCAACTCACCCCAAAATGTTCAGTGAAGCTCCATCACTCCAACTCTTACCAAAGTGTTCAGTGAAGCTCCATCACTCCAACTCACCCCAAAGTGTTCAGTAAAGCTCCATCACTCCAACTCTTACCAAAGTGTTCAGTGAAGCTCCATCACTCCAACTCATCCCAAAGTGTTCAGTGAAGCTCCATCACTCCAACTCATCCCAAAGTGTTCAGTAGAGCTCCATCACTCCAACTCATCCCAAAGTGTTTAGTAGAGCTCCATCACTCCAACTCACCCCAAAGTGTTCAGTGGAGCTCCATCACTCCAACTCACCCCAAAGTGTTCAGTGGAGCTCCATCACTCCAACTCATCCCAAAGTGTTCAGTAGAGCTCCATCACTCCAACTCACCCCAAAGTGTTCAGTGGAGCTCCATCACTCCAACTCATCCCAAAGTGTTCAGTAGAGCTCCATCACTCCAACTCATCCCAAAGTGTTTAGTAGAGCTCCATCACTCCAACTCACCCCAAAGTGTTCAGTGGAGCTCCATCACTCCAACTCATCCCAAAGTGTTCAGTAGAGCTCCATCACTCCAACTCATCCCAAAGTGTTTAGTAGAGCTCCATCACTCCAACTCATCCCAAAGTGTTCAGTAGAGCTCCATCACTCCAACTCACCCCAAAGTGTTCAGTAGAGCTCCATCACTCCAACTCATCCCAAAGTGTTTAGTAGAGCTCCATCACTCCAACTCTTGCCAAAGTGTTCAGTAGAGCTCCATCACTCCAACTCACCCCAAAGTGTTCAGTAGAGCTCCATCACTCCAACTCATCCCAAAGTGTTCAGTAGAGCTCCATCACTCCAACTCATCCCAAAGTGTTCAGTAGAGCTCCATCACTCCAACTCATCCCAAAGTGTTCAGTAGAGCTCCATCACTCCAACTCATCCCAAAGTGTTTAGTAGAGCTCCATCACTCCAACTTATCCCAAAGTGTTCAGTAGAGCTCCATCACTCCAACTCTTGCCAAAGTGTTCAGTGGAGCTCTTTCACTCCAACTCACCCCAAAATGTTCAGTGGAGCTACATCACTCCAACTCACCCCAAAGTGTTCAGTAAAGCTCCATCACTCCAACTCTTACCAAAGTGTTCAGTGAAGCTCCATCACTCCAACTCACCCCAAAATGTTCAGTGAAGCTCCATCACTCCAACTCTTACCAAAGTGTTCAGTGAAGCTCCATCACTCCAACTCACCCCAAAGTGTTCAGTAAAGCTCCATCACTCCAACTCTTACCAAAGTGTTCAGTGAAGCTCCATCACTCCAACTCTTGCCAAAGTGTTCAGTGAAGCTCTTTCACTCCAACTCACCCCAAAATGTTCAGTGGAGCTACATCACTCCAACTCACCCCAAAGTGTTCAGTAAAGCTCCATCACTCCAACTCTTACCAAAGTGTTCAGTGAAGCTCCATCACTCCAACTCACCCCAAAATGTTCAGTGAAGCTCCATCACTCCAACTCTTACCAAAGTGTTCAGTGAAGCTCCATCACTCCAACTCACCCCAAAGTGTTCAGTGGAGCTCCATCACTCCAACTCATCCCAAAGTGTTCAGTAGAGCTCCATCACTCCAACTCACCCCAAAGTGTTCAGTGGAGCTCCATCACTCCAACTCATCCCAAAGTGTTCAGTAGAGCTCCATCACTCCAACTCTTGCCAAAGTGTTCAGTGAAGCTCTTTCACTCCAACTCACCCCAAAATGTTCAGTGGAGCTACATCACTCCAACTCACCCCAAAGTGTTCAGTAAAGCTCCATCACTCCAACTCTTACCAAAGTGTTCAGTGAAGCTCCATCACTCCAACTCACCCCAAAATGTTCAGTGAAGCTCCATCACTCCAACTCTTACCAAAGTGTTCAGTGAAGCTCCATCACTCCAACTCACCCCAAAGTGTTCAGTGGAGCTCCATCACTCCAACTCATCCCAAAGTGTTCAGTAGAGCTCCATCACTCCAACTCACCCCAAAGTGTTCAGTGGAGCTCCATCACTCCAACTCATCCCAAAGTGTTCAGTAGAGCTCCATCACTCCAACTCATCCCAAAGTGTTTAGTAGAGCTCCATCACTCCAACTCATCCCAAAGTGTTCAGTAGAGCTCCATCACTCCAACTCACCCCAAAGTGTTCAGTAGAGCTCCATCACTCCAACTCATCCCAAAGTGTTTAGTAGAGCTCCATCACTCCAACTCTTGCCAAAGTGTTCAGTAGAGCTCCATCACTCCAACTCATCCCAAAGTGTTCAGTAGAGCTCCATCACTCCAACTCACCCCAAAGTGTTCAGTAGAGCTCCATCACTCCAACTCATCCCAAAGTGTTTAGTAGAGCTCCATCACTCCAACTCTTGCCAAAGTGTTCAGTAGAGCTCCATCACTCCAACTCATCCCAAAGTGTTTAGTAGAGCTCCATCACTCCAACTCATCCCAAAGTGTTTAGTAGAGCTCCATCACTCCAACTCACCCCAAAGTGTTCAGTGGAGCTCTTTCACTCCAAGTCACCCCAAATTGTTCAGTGGAGCTCCATCACTCCAACTCATCCCAAAGTGTTTAGTAGAGCTCCATCACTCCAACTTATCCCAAAGTGTTCAGTGGAGCTCTTTCACTCCAAGTCACCCCAAAGTGTTCAGTAGAGCTCCATCACTCCAACTCATCCCAAAGTGTTTAGTAGAGCTCCATCACTCCAACTTATCCCAAAGTGTTCAGTAGAGCTCCATCACTCCAACTCTTGCCAAAGTGTTCAGTGGAGCTCTTTCACTCCAACTCACCCCAAAATGTTCAGTGGAGCTACATCACTCCAACTCACCCCAAAGTGTTCAGTGGAGCTCCATCACTCCAACTCTTACCAAAGTGTTCAGTGAAGCTCCATCACTCCAACTCACCCCAAAATGTTCAGTGAAGCTCCATCACTCCAACTCACCCCAAAGTGTTCAGTGAAGCTCCATCACTCCAACTCTTACCAAAGTGTTCAGTGAAGCTCCATCACTCCAACTCACCCCAAAGTGTTCAGTAAAGCTCCATCACTCCAACTCTTACCAAAGTGTTCAGTGAAGCTCCATCACTCCAACTCATCCCAAAGTGTTCAGTGAAGCTCCATCACTCCAACTCACCCCAAAGTGCTCAGTGGAGCTCCATCACTCCAACTCTTGCCAAAGTGTTCAGTGGAGCTCCATCACTCCAACTTATCCCAAAGTGTTCAGTAGAGCTCCATCACTCCAACTCTTGCCAAAGTGTTCAGTGGAGCTCTTTCACTCCAACTCACCCCAAAATGTTCAGTGGAGCTACATCACTCCAACTCACCCCAAAGTGTTCAGTGGAGCTCCATCACTCCAACTCTTACCAAAGTGTTCAGTGAAGCTCCATCACTCCAACTCACCCCAAAATGTTCAGTGAAGCTCCATCACTCCAACTCACCCCAAAATGTTCAGTGAAGCTCCATCACTCCAACTCTTACCAAAGTGCTCAGTGGAGCTCCATCACTCCAACTCACCCCAAAGTGTTCAGTGGAGCTCCATCACTCCAACTCATCCCAAAGTGTTCAGTGGAGCTCCATCACTCCAACTCACCCCAAAGTGTTCAGTGGAGCTCTTTCACTCCAAGTCACCCCAAAGTGTTCAGTGGAGCTCCATCACTCCAACTGACCCCATAGTGTTCAGTAGAGCCCCATCACTCCAACTCATCCCAAAGTGTTCAGTAGAGCTCCATCACTCCAACTCATCCCAAAGTGTTTAGTAGAGCTCCATCACTCCAACTCACCCCAAAGTGTTCAGTGGAGCTCTTTCACTCCAAGTCACCCCAAATTGTTCAGTGGAGCTCCATCACTCCAACTGACCCCAAAGTGTTCAGTGGAGCTCTATCACTCCAACTCACCCCAAAATGTTCAGTGGAGCTCTATCACTCCAACTGACCCCAAAATGTTCAGTGGAGCTCTATCACTCCAACTCACCCCAAAATGTTCAGTGGAGCTCCATCACTCCAACTCACCCCAAATTGTTCAGAGGAGCTCCATCACTCCAACTCTTACCAAAGTGTTCAGTGGAGCTCTATCACTCCAACTCACCCCAAAATGTTCAGTGGAGCTCTATCACTCCAACTGACCCCAAAATGTTCAGTGGAGCTCCATCACTCCAACTCACCCCAAAATGTTCAGTGGAGCTCCATCACTCCAACTCACCCCAAAGTGTTCAGTGGAGCTCCATCACTCCAACTCACCCCAGAGTGTTCAGTTCCATTGCCCTTGCTTTTCTAAAGAGATTAAACGGAAGTGCTTCTAATTAAACAGCTCTATCAGCAATGAGTTTGCTTTAGTAGTCACGTCCACTAATCACTGAACATGGACCTGTGATGTACTTCCAGCTGCTGTTAGAACCCAGAACCTGTGACAAGCTCTCGAATGTTTATTTAGAGTCCGTTTTTAGTGTATCAAGGGTCCTTCGGGATCGTATTGGAATTTGTTGCGCTTGAGTGAGTGCACTGCTCTGAGCAGGGCTGAACTTTTGACCTTTTTGCTCTTCCATTAGCACATAACAGACCTCTTGTAATGTTTTGAGAATGCTTTGGTGAAAAATCGAAGTTAGCAGAGTTGCCTGCAGCTTTATACTGCGCTCGTCAGTAAATAGTTGATTGTATCTGCAGTGGTGGGAGTGTTACCTGTTGAAACACACACCGTAGTTGCGCTGTGGCGGTTTTTGGGAAGATGAACACTGTGTTTGATCTCATTAGGCTACAGCGCAGCTACACTGAAGCGGGCCGTGGGCGCTCTGTGTGGGCCTGTCGGATTAGAGTAACTCTGTTTCTCTCTGCTGTCTCTGACTCAGTAACCTTGACAGCGTCCCGCCGTTTCATCTTTCTGCCTCTGTCTTTCTGAGCCTCGTCTGTTGCTCAGAGAGTGATGCATTGTGGAATATCGCGTCTCCGTGGGACGCCCCTGACTTATTGATCCTCCTACATGTCGTTCAGCATCACGCTCAGCTCCCTTGTCTTCTCCTCTCTGAGCGTTTGGTCCCGCAGGCCTGAGGGGCCTGATCCTGAGAGAGTCTGTGTTATGTGTGCTCAGCTGAGGGTCTCTGAGCGCTGTAGTGAGCCTGTGTAGGCAGATGTGGGCTCAGTGTTAGAAGCTTGTTTGTTTGTTGTTTGTAGGTTTGTTTACTCAAGTTGTCCAGCTAATTGCTTTTTTTTCTCTGCTCTGTAGAGAGAACGTTTCATAAGGCTGCTGGATCAGCTCCATAACTCCCTGCGCATTGACCTGTCCACCTACAGGGTGAGTAGTAGTGACCACACTTTATGAAACTACACTTGCATGTACGCTCTACACACTACATACAGGTCAACAGGTGTATAAAATGCTTTTGGAGGGGCAACCACCAAGCAACACCCTAGCAACCACCTAGATCACCATAGCAACCATTTAACAGCACCATAGCCACCACCTAGGACACTGCACCAACCACCAAGCAACACCCTAGCAACCACAGCGAGCACCTGGCAACAACCTTGCAACCACCCACAACCCCATAGCAACTACTTAAGAGCACCATAGCCACCACCTAGGATACTGCAGCAACCACAAAGCAACATCTTTGGAAACCAAAGCGAGCACCTTGCGAGACCCTAGCAACCACCTGGAACACCATTGCAACCACTTAACACTACCATAGCCACACCCTAGAATACTGCAGCAACCACTAAGCAACACCCTAGCAACCACCTTGGAAGCCATAGCGAGCACCTAGCGACACCTAGCAACCACCTGGAACACCATAGCAACCACTTAACAGCACCATAGCCACCACCCAGGATATTGCAGCAACCACCAAGCGACACCCTAGTAACCAATTTGGAATCCACAGCGAGCACCTAATAACACCCTAGACCTGCCTAAGCTGTGCAGTCCGCTGCACTTTTGTAGTTACAGTGATGTTATCGTGTATCAGTCGGGCGCTGCTACTCTTCTCCTGGACGCCCTGACTGGACAAACATAAGCTTTCCACATGTAAGTTGACCATTAATGTCGTTTTGTCTCTCTGAACTGCAGAATAACTTCCCTGCCAGCAGCAAACCTCGCCTGTCCGATCTGAAGTCCACCGTGGACCTGCTGACCAGCATCGCCTTCTTCAGGATGAAGGTAAAACACAGACATCACAGACATCAGAGAGGAGAAGCCGTCAGAGGGGGAGAGGAGCTGTGCTGAGAGACTGACTGTTCTCTTTGTTCAGTTTCAGCTTATGTAACGTGTGAGATTGAGTGTGTGACAGTTTGCTAGATCGAACATCTTCCATTGAATTGCGACAGGAGGCTGATTTTGTGTGTGTTTGTTCGTGTGTGAACTATTTGGGCACCTACATTCTTAAAAATGAAGATTGCTCAATGGTCTTAGTGTGAAAAGTTAGTGTTCAGGCTTAATATTTTGAGCTAATTGCATCAACGAATGCAGTAGCCATGGTAAAAGGATGAAACGTGTTCAGACCTGCAGCAGTGATAAAGACTCCTGTATTCAGAAGTACTGCATTCAGCTCCAACCTTCACTGTGAACACATTAATACAGTTCATTAATGTTTAGTTGGACGTTACATGTTTTATTTACATCTGTTTACGTGTTTTATTTAAGTGTGTTCTAAGCTGTCAGCTATGTTAGATGCAGCATAGCATCAAAGCGTATTTAGAGTGTTCTGTAGATTGTTTTAGTGGCTCTGCAAGCAGAAAACACACTCAAAGCTTTGAACATGGTGATCTTCTACTGTCGTTCATGTGATTCTTAGGGCTGTCATGATGAGGGAAGTTTAGCTGATGATTAATTGTCATAATTAATTGCGATTAATGATGTGATTATCTTGTCTTGTTCATCGTTTGTAGCTATTAGAAGACTAAAATGTCCAGAATATCAGCAAAAACACTAATTCCGCACCAGTGCTATATGCTAAAAAGGTTAGAATTAGCTGCATAGCAAACAAACAAACAAATAAACAAACAAACATAACAGTGTCAGTGAAAAGCTCTGACCCACGTTAATGTAGGTTATATTAAGGCACAGTTTAGACAGCAGCAGTCAGCTATCTGGCTAACATTGCTTTATATAAAGACATTGCTGAGATATAAAGATATGTAGTATCAAGATATATTATATATGGATATAGCTGTGGCCCAGTCCACATCATTAAATAAGAGTCCCAGTTCTACAGTGATGGGCTCTCCTGGGAGCTTCTTAGCTAAACACTAAAAGCCATAAAGCTGGCTAGCTTGGTAGGTTATGACTATCACTCAACACTGAGAGGCTATTAGTGCAGGAGCTACACAGTGTCTGATGAAGTAGCCTAGGTCAGATGACGTCCGGGTGGACTAACTCGGCACAGGAGGGTCAGCACATTCACCACACTGGTTTATCTCAGTGCTAAATGTATTCTGTGTTGCTGGCGCCCCCTCTGTTCAGGTGCAGGAACTGCAGGCTCCTCCTCGAGCAGCTCATGTGGTACGGGACTGCGTGAAGGCCTGCCTCAACTCCACGTACGAGTACATCTTCAACAACTGCCAGGAGCTCTACAGCAGACAGTTCCAACCCGCCAGCGAACAGGTGAGTGTACACACACACACACACACACACACACACATATACACACACACACACACACACACACACACACACATACACTCACACACACACACACATATACACTCACACACACACACACACATACACTCACACACACACACACATATACACTCACACACACACACACACATATATACACTCTCACACACACACACACACACACACACATACACACACACACACACACATATATACACTCTCACACACACACACACACACACACATATACACTCTCACACACACACACACACATATACACACACACACACACACACACACACTCACACACACACACACACATATACACTCACACACACACACACACATACACACACACACATATACACTCTCACACACACACACACACACACACATATACACACACACATACACTCACACACACACACACACATATACACTCACACACACACTCACACGCATACACTCATTTACATATATCAGTCTTAAAGGCACGGTAACAAAAACAGCCTATTCAATTCTAAGGGATATAGAGAAGCTGCCCTGATAAATGTCTTGTAGTAATTTTTGGTACATAAACACACACAGAAATGTAGGATATGGGCCCTAAATAAGAGTTTTCTTTGTTCTGTCTTTCTCAGGAAAAGCCGAAAGAAAAGAAAGAAGGAGAGGAAGAAGGAGAAGGAGAGGAGGATGAAGAGAAGGCAAAGGAGGAAGAGAGCGCTCCAGCAGAGGAGGCGGGGCCGAGCATCCACAACCTGGACTTCTGGCCCAAACTCATCACCCTCATAGTGTCCATTACAGAGGAGGATAAACACGCATACACACCTGTTATAAACCAGTGAGTACACACACACACACACACACACACACACACACACACACACACACACACACATATATATACAGACAGTCAGGGTGTGCTTTCACATATAGCTCTGATTAGAGCTGTACTACATTTAACATCTATGTAATATTAGAGGTTTGGAGACCTCTCTGGTGGAAATGTGTAATTACACGCAACATATTGAAGAACTTGTTGTAACATGTTGATTTTGCATTTGAACACCGTGCTGGACTTCCATTTGAATCGGTACGTGTGACGTTAATAAATAAAGGCGTATGAGAAAGCTTTAAAAATGTTCCTCTGCACATTGCATGCAATTAAACCTTTCCACCAGAGAGGGCTCCAAATCCCCAAGTCTTACACAAATGTAAAAGACAAATGTAGAAGACAGTTAAGCACTAAAAGAGTTAAGGAAAAAGCAAGAACAAAAAGTAAAAAATGAATTTAGGCTAAAATTAGCTTTAAAATTTGATAGAAGTTACAAAAAAAAATGTAATTATAAAAAAACAGGAAATCAGTAGGTTTTGTGTCTGATGAGCAACAGAAGTTGCTCCTTCAGATGAGCTAGTAAGCTAAAACTAAAGCATTGATGTTGAGAAGTACTGTGTCCCAATTCAGGGGCTGCATCCTTCAAAGGACGCGGTCTATGAAAGTGTGTCCTTTGACGGCTGCGCAGACCCGCAAAGTTACACAGTTACTGAACTGAAGTGAGACGGTCTGCTCTACGGCGGATTTCCTGTCTGCATCGCAGCATGGCTGTTCCGCCCTGACCGTTACATCATGAAACGCAGCTCCTGTCAGGTTCTTTTAAAGTTCTTTGATGAAGTTTAAAGATGGAGCCAGAATTTTCGATTTTTTTGTTTTATTTTTTTCTTCTATCAGAGCTGGAGATACTTCACCGCCGGCTACTGATGAGATTGGCTTTTTCAACATTTGTATCATTAGATATTCGACTCAGTTTAAACTCGATACTTAGTGTCTGCTCAGCCGCCGTTCACTCCTCTGCTGACACGTTATTGGATCCTTGCCGTCACGCAATGAGCTGTGGGATATGTTGGCTGATGAAGGATCCGCCCGTTGATGTTGCCATGGAGCCCTTGAAATAGGACAGCCTAGTCACACCGCTGTGACGCACTCGGCCTTCAAATGCAGCCTCCGAAGGACGCAGCCCTTGAATTGGCACACAGCTAAGGACTCGTGATGTTCCATCATAAGGTGTTTTCTGTGTATATTGGGGATTTGGTGGAAATGTGTGTTTACATGCAACATGTGTGTACTCAAATAATGATTCAGTGTTCTAATGCTGGCACCTCAAAACAGTGAACCAGGTACTCCACTGTCCGTGCACGAGTCGTGGAATCAGCCTGAAACGCTAAAACAACCCGAGAGTGAAAAAGTCTGCGGTGTCCGTTATAGACGAGGATAAGCATCCATAAATGTTGATCACAAAGGTCGAGAAACGCTGCTTTAACTCCGCTCTCTGTGTAAATGTGCAGGTTCCCTCAGGAGCTGAACGTGGGGAAGGTCAGTGCGGAGGTCATGTGGACGCTCTTCGCTCAGGACATGAAGTACGCTCTGGAAGGTACTGAGAGAGAGAGAGAGGGAGAGAGAGCGTCAGCGAGTAAATAAGTGTACACTGTACAGAGAGCACCTGCTGTTCTGGATTGTTCCATCATGTTCACCCGTCTGTCTGTCTGTCCTTCCACACCCTCTTCTTTCTCTCTCTCTCTCTCTCTTTCTCTCCTTCAGTGCTTGATTATATTGACCGTAGACGCTGGAAGAATGGTAAATGAAATTAGGGTCATCTGGGGTCACAGCAGAGTGAGACGAATAAACAGATAAGCGGAGGGAAAATTTCAGCTGCAGTTAATTAACAGTCGTACATCACTGTAAACCTGCTAATAATAAGAAACATGAAATATCGTTTGAATCAATGTAAATAAACACACCAGTACACTAAAACATAACAATACACTCTGATTAGAAGAACAGATTTCTCCTGACATCACATTGATTTGTCCAGCTCCATCAGCAGCACCTGATTTACCATGATGAAGTATTGATTAACCCTTAACATTTCAACTTATTACATACTTAAGCTTATTATTCATCAATTACAGGGACTTCAATGCAAACTAATGCAGCTGTTCTTAGGTTATAGAAGTGTGTAATAAAATTTTGGGCCCACTGTTGGAACAAACCTCTATGATGCATTCCAACTCATTTTGGACTGTTTCTCTGGGTCCCTTTATCATGTAATTTTGACACAATATAAAGGGCAGTTAGTCTATATGTATATACGTCTGTATGTACATTTCAACAGGATATAGTCTAAGTTGAAGTATTAATGAAAGGATCACTGAAAACTGCTACAAATGAAGTAAAGAAAATAAATAGTCATAAATAGTATTAAACGACTGTGTGTGATTGGTGAATATACACCACCACTAACATAACACTGTGGTTCCCATAGAGGATACAGGCATTGTTGATTAAAACAGTTTAAAGTTTATTTAATAGAATAGAAAGAGAAAAGGAAAAGCTTTATGTTCTGGAGGTCACAGTCATTCAGTTCTGCTCGCCATCATCCCTGTGGAAGTATCTTCAGGCCTTCTCTTTAAAACATTTGAACTGCACAGAAATCACCCCTCCATCTGTTTGTTTATTCCTCACTCTGTTGTTGCAGGGACAGATGCTATGAGCAGCAGCTTAACTGTAGAAAGCTGTAGAAGTAGCTGGACACATTACAGTCCCTGTCGTCCTTCTCAGAAGTTAAGCCTGGTAGACACATTATGACGAAAATCTGAGTCGTGTCATTCTGCAGTCGGTGTAATGCCCTTATTAGGAACTCCAGGTCGAAGCATTTTTAGCTTTGTGTGCTTTTTGAAACGTGTGGTGTGATACTGTCTCATGACAAGAAGACAAGAAACCCTGTAAACCTGTGAGATTCTCTCTTTTCACTGCCTGTTGGGCTATTTTCAGCCAAGTAATGAACACCTGACTGAAGGAATGATGCACGACTCTGAGCTTTATATTGACTTTGACTCTTAGTGTTTAGCGTTTAGTGTTCTCGGCTGGGTTTCCAGAAACATCTTAGCACAAACATGAGTCTCAGATGGTAGAGTGAGCATCACACTGAACACTCTCTCTACCAGTTAAAGAGAATTTTTCACAGTCCTGTGTAATTCAGTCTTTGAGATTTAGAAAGATTCAGAGTGGTCTGGTGTGAAATGGTTCAGATGTCTTTACAGTGGTGGTCACCATGACTACAACACAAATATAGACATTTTATTCACTATCCAAAACCACCAGTGAACCTACACGAGTCTTCTGCGTTTATATGGAATATTGATGATGGAAAAATAGTGGAAAATCTGAAATAATAAGTGTGAATATATGAAATAAAGCAATGAATATATTAGTAAAAAAGCCAAAATCTTCTCAAAACCATCACAAAACAATGTGTCAGACATCAGGCAGTGAATTCATAACCATTTCATGTAGAAACTTTCTGTGAGGGAGCTTTTAGAGGTGGACGTCTGGTTCCTATCACCACCACTGTGAACAATTCTGACTCTGTAAGTTTCTCTAGAACCACATCAAACCACTCTGAATGACTCTGTTTGTATCTTAACCGTTTAATGATGCAGATATTTAGGACAATTGAGGCTGATCTTAATGCTGAGATGCTTTTCTGAAGCTGGGCTGAGAACAGTATGAACTCAGTGTTGGGAATTTGGTGTTGGTTAATAGTGTGGGTGTAGTTAGTTAGTGTTAGTTGTAATTTATAGCAGAAAAATACTTTTAAAGGAGATCGAAGTATCTTCCCCTTCCTTTTTCTTGAGTATTTTTCTTTTATCACATCTGTCTCTCTCACATTCACTCGTTCCTCTCTTTCATTTCTCTGTGATCTACTTCTTCTGTCTGTTTTCTCCTTCTTTTCACCATCATCGTAGCTCCCGCCTCATTCCGCATCCGCAAGTGTGACTTTTACGCTGGTAAGCTGTGTGTGAGTGTGTGTGAGTGTGTGTGAGTGTGTGTGAGTGTGTGTGTGTGTGAGTGTGTGTGAGTGTGTGTGAGTGTGTGTGAGTGTGTGTGTTCTTTTCTGAGGCTTTCACTTTTTTAAATATGTGTATTTTTTATAATATATTCATTTGTGTTTTAACATGTGTTTGTTATCAGGCCTGTTTCGTAAAGCAATAAGTCACGAGAGGCCGTGAGTTACTGCGATTTTACCACGGGGAAGGGTGTTCTTAGGCACAACGTGAAGCTGAGTAAAACTCCCTTCCCTGTGATAAAATACAAAATTGTTCGGAAAATAATTATTAATAATAATCGACATAAACAAATATTCTGCCAAGAAATGTAGTTCCTTTAGAGGATGCTATTGTTGCCAAGCAACCATGGAGCGCTGAATGAGGAGAACGTTCGGTCGCCCATCGCTGTACACCGAGATCATTTCATGAATTTTTAAACTTTTTGTCGCATAACAATGAAACACAGCACTGTTTAACACAGAACCTTTCACTTTATTTGTACTTTTTGGTCACCGAATTAACACTATGACCATATTAACACTTACTAAGCACCAATCCAGCGGCGCCCTCTTCTCACACTGGGGCTGAATTTCAAACAGCTTCCTGCCTCATACATAGTGCACTTCGTATACTGGGTCCTGCAGCCCAACATAGCGAAACACAGCTAAGAAATAGTCATTGGGACTCGATGCACTGGGATAAACGATGCACTGTTTGGCTGTAGAGGCTAGAAGTTCTAAACTTTCATAGCTAGAACACTGTTTAGGGAGTACAGAGCTGTTTGGGATTCAGCCTGACGGTACATCTGACTGAAACACAAACATTTGAAGTGTGTCAGACGTTCAGGTGACATTTTTAGACTTTTATACTGCCATTTTACAGTTAATCACAAGTTAACTGTAAGTGCTTTAATTCAGGCCTGTGATATTGATGATGGTGTTGTTTGGGCTGTTGGCTCTTTTAGTCTGTTAGCTAGCTGACCAGCCCAGTTCCAGTTAAGAACACAAGTTGTCAGTCCCTCAGTTTAAACAGAAAACAGGTTCTCACTTTATCAGCTCACTCGGTGCTCTGTGTGATCAGCATTAGAGTCAAAGATTATTCCATTAACAGCAGAAGGGTTTTTCGTGCTTTGGCACAGTGATAGACAGTTCAGTCACAGTGAGGTGGTCATAGCCACGGTATATTGTGGATTTTACGACCGCTTCGAACGCAGCTCAGCCAATCAGATTTCAGGTCCGCAACTATCTGTTTTATAGCAAATAATACAGCACTTATCAGCCACAGTCATTGGCAGCAGAGAAGATAGGCCATGAAACCTTTTTAACCTTTCAGAAGGTAGAATTACTCTTAATCGTTTACCATCAACATTAAAAACAGCCCTAAACAGCTTTACAAAGGGTGAGACTGATTCTAGAGGACACTGAGGATAAAGACAGAAGACATAAATAAGGGAATTAAGCATCAGGCACTTTCATGCACTCTTTGTCTGCTCCCAAAACGACAGTTAAACTGACGGAGAGATGAAACACTGGAATTTAACATGTTTCTCAAACTCACTTCAGTTTACTGGCTCTTTAAGAGCTAAACGTGAGTTTTACTGGTGACTCTGAACTGGTTTAAATGGCGTATTTATGTGTTTGTTTGTTTGTTTGTGTAGAACATGAGAAGCACAGGCTGTGTAGGAGTGCGGACTACATGAACCTGCACTTTAAAGTGAAGTGGCTCTATAACGAGTACGTCAGAGAGCTGCCGGCGTTCTCAGACACGGTTCCTGAGTATCCAGCGTGAGTTCAGCCCACACCATCTCTCTCTCTCTCAGGACCACCGGAGCAGAACTCAGATCAGAGCTCATGAACACGGCCACGTTAAAGGCTCATATGATGGAAAACTGAACCTTCCTCGCCCTTCAGGCATTAAGAGTCTGGTTTAGACTGTAAACACGGTTAATGTTCATTCCTCAGTTCACACAGTCCACACATGAACAACTAAGCTAAAAACACTGTTTTAATTCCTTGTTTTTGTGATGTCACAAAAACCAACACACACACGTATATCCACTCACAGCAGTTGAGCCCCGCCCGCTCACACTGAAGTTATGAGGAGTGTTTCAGCCTGAACGAGTTTTGAACGAGGCACAAATTAGGCAACCAATCAGAACAGAGCCCATTTACATATACATAGCCTTAAAGGCCCAGTAACAGCAACCGTTTAATTCTCTCTCTCTCTCTCTGTAGGTGGTTCCTGCCATTTGTTCTTCAGTGGTTGTCTGAGAATGAGGAGGTTTCTATGGAGTTTATGCACGGAGCTCTGGAGAGGGACAAGAGAGAGGGGGTACACACACACACACACACACACACACACACACACACACACACACACACACACACCATCTCTTAATATATACAACCCCATCTCCAAAACATTTGGGTAAATGTAAATAAAAAAAGAATATAATGATATGCAAATCAAGTAAACCATATTTTTAAAGGAAAATATGTAATACATATTGCAATACATGCAGAATGTGGTTTTACATTGTCTTGCTGATATAATCAAGGCCTTCCCTGAAAAAGACGTTGTCTGGATGGCAGCATATGTTGCCAAAACATGTATATATCATTCAGCATTAATGGTGCCTTCACAGATGTGCACATCACCCATGCCATGTGCACTAATGCCCCCCTATACAATCATGAATACTGACTGATAATAAGCTGATGGTCTTTAGCCCAGAGGACACAGTGTCCATGATTTCCAAAAAGAATTTCAAATGTTGATTTGTAGGACCACAGGACACTTTTCCGCTTCCCCTCAGTCCATTTTAAATGAGCTCAGGCCCAGAGAAGGTGGCAGCGTTTCTGGATCCTGTTTATATCTGGTTTCTTTTTTGCGTTTTAGAGTTTTAACTTGCATTTGTGGATGGGTTTCAGTGGGTTTCAGTAGTGTTTCTGAGCCCATGCAGTGATTTCCTCTACAGAATCATGTCTGTTTTTAATGCAGTGCTGCCTGAGGGCCCAAAGATCACGGCCAGCAAATACTGGTTTTTGGCCTTGTCCCTTACATACAGAGATTTTCTCCAGATTCTCTGAATCTTTTAATGATATTTTGTACCGTAGACGATGAAAAGCAAAAGTTCTTTTGTATTTTATGTTGAGAAACGTTATTCTTGAATTGTTGCACTATTTGATGGTGCAGTCTTTCACAGAGTGGTGAACCCCTCCTCATCTTTACTTCTGAAAGACTCCGCCTCTCTGAGATGCTCTTTAATACCCAATCATGTTACTGACCTGTTGCCAATCGACAACCAGGTGTTTTTTTTAGCACAACTTTACCAGCCTTTTGTTGCCCCCATCCCAACTTTTTTGGAACGTGTCATTGGCATCAAATTCAAAATGGGCATATATTTTTCAAAAAACAATAAAAATTCTCAGTTTGAACATTTGATTTGTTGTCTTTGTACTATTTTTAATTAAATATAGAGTTTAAATGATTTGCACATCATTGCATTTTGTTTTTTATTTACATTTTGCACAGCGTCCCAACTTTTTTGGAAATGAGGTTGTACTTACTAACACCATCCTTTCTAAAACTGCAATATTAATAAAAAATAAATAAATTGTGATTATTTTCTGTGATTGCTTCATTGATACTGTTAAACATTCTCATAACAGATGGTTTAAAACCAACACATTGCGTCCTTAAGTAGACACGTCTGTGTCTGTAGTTAATGACAGCGCATTTAATGTTACTTTTACCAACAGCAGGACACGTCAAAGTGTTTTAAACATGAAAGCGTGATTGTCTCACTCTGCTTTTTGAAGATGGTTAAAGGAACAAAAACAAAAGCTGGCTATCGCCAACTGCAGACTCACTGATCTCTGAACCTGAGATTCAAATAGAAAGGACTCTGTCCACTCTGTCCACACCTGGGAGCCAGTCCGAGCTTCCCAGAGCTTGTCCTGTTTCAGCCCTGAAGTGTACAGATGCTGTAATGATGCTAGAAAACGAAAAATAAGAACATTAGCTTGACCTTTGACCCCCTCTCCGCCTCCACAGTTCCAGCAGACCTCGGAGCACGCTCTGTTCTCCAGCTCGGTGGTGGACATCTTCACTCAGCTCAACCAAAGCTTTGAGATCATCAAGAAACTGGACTGTCCCGACCCCAGCGTGGCGGCCCAGTACAACCGACGCTTCGCCAGGGTAAAAAAACAAATGAATAATGTTGAATGAATAACCGACTCTAAATGTAGGTATTGTGATATAAACTGAGTCTGTTCTACAGTTTCTCATTAGGTTGAATGAATAACTGACTCTAAATGTAGGTATTGTGATATAAACTGAGTCTGTTCTACAGTTTCTCATTAGGCTGAATGAATAACTGACTCTAAATGTAGGTATTGTGATATAAACTGAGTCTGTTCTACAGTTTCTCATTAGGCTGAATGAATAACTGACTCTAAATGTAGGTATTGTGATATAAACTGAGTCTGTTCTACAGTTTCTCATTAGGCTGAATGAATAACCGACTCTAAATGTAGGTATTGTGATATAAACCGAGTCTGTTCTACAGTTTCTCATTAGGCTGAATAGGATTTGTACCAGTGCTGCTTTAAAACCAATGGTAAATATGAAAGAACAGATTTGTGGGCGGAGCCTGAGTAGTCCAGATTTGAATGCTATCTCAAAGTCCACCATTCGGTCCAGTGTGTTTCATATTTGCTGACCGAACTGAGACTCTTTATTGTCTGCTCTCCACGTCCTGCATATTGAGTAATATTTCAGAAAAAGCAATAAAAGTAACATTATTTTGCTGAGTTTTAAGAAGCGCTGCTGTCTGAGAGCCGTATATGAGCGAGAGCCGCTCTGTGTAGCAGCAACCTGTGGAAGAACACGATTCCCTAAATATTTAAGCAGCTGTAGTCAAAGTCACGACTAAATATACGAGCTTATTATCTCGAACCGTCGGCGGGGGAGCGCCTCTGCTGTACTTCCTGTTTATTATTCTGTTGTTTATCTCCCTGCGCCGAGTGCTTGGTGTTTGTTTTCTCCGCTGAGTGATGCTGCCCATCAAACGTTTGAGGACACTTTGTTTTCTTTTGAAAATGTTCTGACTGTAATTTTTAATTAAGTCAGCAAAGCGTAGAGCAGAGCTGTGTTGATGCTCTGGGTCTGTTTATCTTCAGCTTCATGTTCATCAAAGTGACTTTGTTGGTGTGAAGAGGTTTTTTTTTTTAATAGAGTCAGTTTTCTTTTCCTAACGAGTGTTTAAAGCTCTTACTGGAACTGTTCTGGTCCACAGGTGGTTTAGACACCTGAGAGGTTTGAGTGCTGATGTCACAACAAGGTGATATAATATGTGGCCTTTGGCTTCATTTCCAAGTAGCACTGATACTGTTATATACTAATCACTGATGTTTACATGTGTGGTATTGTTTTCTTATGAACCTGAGGAGGCTTCAGTATTTTATGTTGAAAACTGACCAAGAAAACATGATGATTATTAAGTCAGTCTGACACTTTTAATGGAAAGTGTCCATTTATTTTAATTAGTGTCTCTGTTGTGCTTGTTGTTTACTCTGTTGTTTGTTGTCTGTTTATTTCCCTCTGCAGGTTTGTGTGTTTATTTCCTCTGTTGGGGGACTTACATTTGAATCTCTCTCTCTCTCTCTCTCTCTCTCTCTCTCTCAGACGATCAGTAAGGTGCTGCTGCAGTACTGCACCATCCTGTCCAAAAACTTCCCCTCGTACTGCGAGAAGGAGAAGATAGTGAGTCGCTCTGAGGAAAAACACACGTTATGTATTGTCACTGTTGGAATTAAACCTCGTATCTCCAGAATAAGAACAATACAGGAGGAAATACATTCTTACCTCTGAATAGAAGTGAAAGGAACTGGATTTCTTTTAAGTCACTTTAGAGTCTGTCTACCTTCGCCATCCACCATAGGTTTCTTATACAGTGTAAAGAGCAGATGGTGTCATTATGACCAAATATGAAAAAAATAAAAAACTGAAAAAAAAAGTTTTGTTACATTAAAAGTAGTGTGGCCTTCTCCTGAAAAGGCATCATTTTGTGATTTGAGGTTTTGTTTTAAATATTATATATAAATAATAATATAACCCCAATAAATTATATGTATCTATATGTAATAATGAATAAATGAATGAATGAATGTGTGTGTCTGTGTGTCTGCAGCCCTGTGTGCTGATGAATAACGTGCAGCAGATGAGGGTGATGCTGGAGAAGATGTTTGAATTTATGGGAGCCAAGCAGGTGAGTAAGACACACTGAGATAAACAGTCGCACGCCCCCTATCCTCTCTCTCTCTTTCTCTGTCTCTCTCTCTCTCCCTCTCTCTCTCACTCTCTCTCCCCCTCTCTCTCTCTCTCTCTTTCTCCTCTCTCTCTCTCTCTCTCTCTCTCTCTCTCTCTCTCTCTCTCTCCCTCTCTCTCTCTCTCTCTCTCTCTCTCTCTCTCTCTTCACGGCTGTCTCCAGGTCAGATGGGTTTAAAGTGTGAGGCTGATCAAACACATTGGTGTGTCACTCTAATGACACTCTGAGAGTGCGAGTGAGCGAGTGAGCGTGTTTTACTCGTCGGGGATGAAGTGAATATCAAAGCCTTTTCTGCCTGATCATCGTCTCTCAGTGTGCTGATTAATGCTGTGTGTGTGTTTGTAGATCACCGCTGAGGAGGAGCGGGTAGGTGGAGATAATAACAACACACCGTCCCCTCCCTCTGTGTGTGTTCATGTCTCTGTGTGTGTGTGTGTGTGTGTGTGTATGTGTGTGAGTGTACAGGACATGTACACATGTATCTGACCCCTGTAGTTCCAGCCCTACTGCACCGTATACAGTCCTGAACCACACTGTAACAGGACCTTACTGCACATCACTGTAGTTTAATAGAGCGCAGTGTGGCTAAGCTTTACAGCTAGCGTGCTTAGCTAGTTACATCCCAGTGTAGCTCTTGAGTACGTCTAACTTGTTTGTGGTTTACATCGTTCTTTGGACGTTTCCCTCCAAGCTTGAGGATGAGGAGGAGCCAGACGATGTGGATGAAGAGGTTTGTGATGAGAGAGAGATAGAGAGAGAGAGAGAGTGACTGAGCGAGTGAGAGTTATTCAGTTAAGTGTTCTGCTGGTGTTACTGCGTGTCACACTTTCTGTTTTCCTCCTCTTCCTCGTCTTCCTCCTCTCCCTATCAGGCGATCTCTGATGACGGGGGTAACGAGGTGTGTATCTGAGTGTGTAACAGAGTGTGTTAGAAACACTGCAGTGGAAACTCAGAGTGTTTGTATTAATGAGACAGAAGAACTCTGTTAACTCTCATTACTTCATGTTTATTTTTATTTTTCTTTATTTTCAATGTCAATAACTGACGATCAGTCGGACGACTCAGAGGTCAAGGTGAGCAAAGAGTAGACGGTCAAACACATGCACATCAGTACCCTCGAACGCTCAGCTTTATTAAATATAGTTACACGCAATTAACTGTATTATCACACTTTCATGCATAGGATCTAGAGATGGGCATTTCAGTCACATTAAATATTTAAATAAATAGTTTTTATTAAAGATTTTCAGATATTCAGAATTTTCAGATATTCAGAATTATCCAAAAATTATTGTAAGACCCCACCCAAATAAATAAATAAATAAACAGTTAAGTAAGTAAGAAAGTATGTAAATATTTTCACCTCACACCTTTCAGCTGGAGGGAATGTTTTAATATTCATACAGTCACAAAAGTTTAAAAATCAACTTGTAAATTAGGAATTTCAATATGCAAATGAGCTTGTCTCTAAACTTACACATTGTCAATAGGAACAGTGAGCTGTCTGGACTCTATCCTCCACCAGGGGTCAGTGCAGAGCCTGCAGAGTCTGAGAGTTTGTAAAAAGAGAGATTCACTAACTGATGTTGATAGTTTTATCCCCTCAAATCTATACAGGTAGAGTGTAAATTGAGCTTTAGCTATATGTTTATCTGTGCTGTTCTATGCTGTGCGTTATAACTGCACTTTGTGCGGCGCAGAGTTTCCCGGCCAGTGTGCGGTTGCCTTTAGCCGGCTGCAGTAGTCTTTATTGCTTTATTGAACTAAACAGATTAGAAACTCTGACCAGATGTAAGACGCAGGCTCTACACTGACCCCTGCTGGAGGATAGAGTTCACTGTTCTTATGATAGTGTATAACTTTAGAGACAAGCTCATTTGCATATCGAAAATCCTAGTTTACTATTCAGTTTTTAAGCTTTCGTGACTGTTTGAATATTCACACGTTCTAAACTCAGAGAAAAGGTACCAATGAGGTCTTCGGTACCTTCAGTTGGAGAACACGGTTCCATTTTCCGTTTTGTTTTTTAAGTTGCATTGACTCTGGACACACTGTCTTGTGATTTTTTATTGTTCTGGTTTAAAACATTAGGTTACGAAAAGGTGTGAAAAACTTATTTAAGGTACACAGTTGGACTATGGTTGTATGTTTGAGGCAACATTTACATTGTTTAGACCTTGCTGTATCACCAAATTAACCATACTGCTTATTTCCATGCATAGTGACAACAGCTTAGCTATGTATTACAGACCAATATATTGGTTTGTACTGTTTACAGATGATATTGACAACCCTTAGTTTTATCTGTATAAACAAAATATTAGCTGATATGTCCTCCTGTTTAAGTGTATACCAGTAAAACAGACTGTACTGGAGAATCTAAACACAAAACACCATCAGTAAATGACAAACACATTTCTCATATATTAAAACTCAACCTTTAGAATAATATAACACAAAAAATAACTTTTTTATGAATTAATGAAGGAAAATAAGCCATAATAAACAGCAACCAAAACTGCAAAGGATTCTATATTACTAGTTTCTGCTGTATGTTCAGTTTAAGAAGTGAGATAATTGATCATTTATGATCATATCAGTCTGGAAAGCAGTGTGTGACTAAAATTACTGGAGTAACATTAAAATATAACATATAAATCTAACATTTTATCAGCTGATATTATCATCAGCATTTTACAATCAGTATTGAACATGTTTATGTCTGGTTGGGTCTTAGACCTCACTAAGGCTCTTGTGGCTGAATGCAGTCAGATCATCTGTGTAAAGAGTCGAGGCTGTTACTGCAGCACAGACTCACTATTAACACCTTCATTTTGGGAGGAGATGTTCAGGGGCACATATGGAAGTGGTTGAGGTGTAATGTATGTTTCCTTATGGACCACCAGCGTGTATGTTTAATGGGATAATATCAGTAAAACATGAGCAGCTGTAGTTTATCGTATGCAGTTTCTGTATGATAGAAGTTTAATCCACACCAAGCCTATATCTGTGTGTGCTGTTATGAGTCTGTTCATGTTTGTTTAAGTTTGTGTTTGTGTTTTTATTTTTGTTTTTTTGTTTTTTTTGCCATCACCAGTCGGGCTGTTCTGACTCAGAGGGATCAGAGGTAGGACGCATGATGATGATGATGAATGTTCTACAGTTTAGTTCTGTAGGTTTAGTACTACTATCATTTTGCTAGACGTAACCTGCTTCACCTTTGTACGTCTACATATAATGTAATTGATGATGATGAAGCAGGAGGTTTACAGCAATAGTTCAGCCAAAATGTCTGCTCTTTTACCCCAAAAGTAGCCAGTCAGCCAGGACATGTTTGGTGTCTGAGGTTCACGTCTTCAGTTTTAGCTCTTGATCTGTCACCTGAACCACAGTGTAAGCGGGTCGTTTGGTTTGGCACTTGTTTAATCCAGTGTAAATCTCTGTGAAACAGCATGTGGGAGTTTTCCACCCACCCAATCACAAATAACCGTGTGAGAATGTGGGCTAATTATAATTATGTAGGGGTTTTTTTCAGTGTTCCAGTCATACATTAGTAGAAGCTGAAGTTGTTTCTTCTTTTTTCTCTTACAAGATGTTGTAACACTAAGGAAAATGTTTGTTGTTAAAACTGAAAGAAGTATCGTTACTGAATCAGAAGAATAAAAACAGGCCAAAATATGCTCCTGAGAGTCGCCCTGTAAAGCCTGAAATAATCATTTAAAAGTCAGTGGCGTCAGTTTAGGATTTTTTCACACCACGTCGCACGTTTTTATGTGTTAATGTCACACACAGAGACTCAAAAAGAAGGTCCGGCTCGATGTTTAGGCCTCAAATGATCTCATAATCAACGTCATACTGATGAGGATATGATGACTGTAGTAGATAATTCACCCACATCCTCAGAAGACGCTCCTTCACCAAGTTTAGACTGAGTTCTCTTTAAATTCTCTTTCAATCGTCAAATTCATCCTCTTGGGGAAGGGGCCAAAATGGTCTTGAGTGCAATTACACATTTCCACCAGAGAGGTCTCCAAATCATAAAAACTAAACTGTCTCAATCCTTTGTGTCTCCATCCAGTTTGGAGAAGTTGTGTTGTTTTTGTAAAACCACTCCATTGAACGCTTTTTGGAAGGACTAAACATCTCATGCGACATACACACTGTAACCATAGTAACGCTGCCACCACTGAGCAGTTTCTGAACAGTTTAACCTTTTCAGCTTTTGAAAGGCGTGCTGTCCAAATATAACCTACTATTGGCAGCGCTTTTGTGACCACTTTGCAGCCATTTAAGTACGATTAAAACTGATGTCTGGGGAAAAATGCTTAGCATGAACACAGCCGAGCCTCATGTAAACAAATAGAAATAACATTTCGGAACTACTTGATATCTTGTGCTCGAGGCAGAGCTTTCAAAACTGTCCTCAGGTTCAGTTTGAGGTGCATACTCCAGTCACAATGACCTGCCTCAGGCCTGCTCGCTGGCAAGAATCAAGCAATTTAAGAAACGCTCAGATTTTTGGCATTATTTTCTTGTACACACACACACACACACACATCATCTAAACCGCTTATCCTTCTGGGCCACGGTGGGGTGCTGGAGCCATCCCAGCTGTCATCGGGCAGAAGGCAGGATACACCCTGGACAGGTCGCCAGTCCATCGCAGGGCTATTTTCTTGTAAAGTAACAATAATTGAGCGTGTATAAAATGTAAAAGCCAACATTACATGCCAACCACTTTTTATGCGGGGGTAGCAACCAAACTGGACATGTACTGCCCCCTGAAGCCCACCACAGAGATTGGCCTGGATACAAGGCTAATGTAGCTAACAAGTAACCCCACTAATTAGCATGGTGCGAACTGCAGGCCTGAATCATGACATATTTCTCCTCAAACTGTGTGGAGGTCTTCAGTATCTCTAACAGTCTTGATTGTTTGG